AGAGACAGAGAAGCAACCAGAGGCAGCCTCCATAAGATTCTGGGGTCCTCCAAATCCTAGGAGAACAGGGGGAGGGACAAGCGCCCAGGGCACAGGGCAGGAATTCTGGAGGCCAGATGGGAAGGCAGACCAGAACCCCCCCCACACACACACACAGTGAGCTGGCATGAAAGGCACTGCAATCTTCCCCAGTGGAGAGCCAGTCCCCTGCTGAAGAGGACCCCATGAGTCCACCTAAATGTCCCAGTAAGCCCTGGTCTGGGGAGACTCCACCCTCACCTTCCCAGCTCACATATGTGTCTGCTCCTGCAGAGGGTGGCTTGGACCCCAGACAGAAACCCCCACTGGCCTCTGTTCACACTGCCGGGCATCCTGCTGCCACTGAGGGCCGCTGCCCTCAGACAAGGCCGACAGCCATAAAGTAGCCTCTGAATGCCATCTAGTGGGCCCCGCTCTCTGACATCATTCTGCAAGGCTCCCAGAAACATCTGAATCACAACAGAGAGCCCTCTCCTGGCCTCCCATCATCGGTCAGGCTGCCCTGCCCAACACCTCTGAGGCTGCTGAGCATCCCAACCCAGCGAGCTCCTCTCTGGCCCCTCCCTGCCCCCAGCCCATGATGGTGCGGTTGAATTTGCATCCGAGGCTCTGGCCTCAAGCCCATCTCTGCTGCTTCCTACCGGGTGACCCCTGGCCCAGTCACTTCTCTGGGAACTCTCCTCTTTAAAATGAAATGCTGGCTTGAACAGCAAGGGAACCTGGCTAAGGCCTTTACTCAAGGTCACCACTACTGTTCTGTCGGGTCTGCTTCCGGCACTGCGGGTCAGGCTGAAGTCCTGGCGCAGCTGACCAGCTCCTGGATGGACTGTCTGTGTGAGGGCGGTAAGCGCTAGGGAATTCCTGGTAGCCTGTACGCAGGAGTGTGCTGGCGCTGGGTTCACACTGTCTTACCAGAGCTGAGTGTTAAATTTTCAGTGTGAGCGTTCACACCTTAGAAACCAACCAACACTACAGATTAGGGGTTGACTGATTGTTTAGATGTATAAAAAGTGATGGAGAAAATGTTAATAATGTAATTTAAACTTAAAAGTATGTCATCATCTTTTCTGAGGCAGGAGGGGAGCTGGTTGTTAAACATTCACCAGTATTCCCCTGCCCACCTTCTCCATATTTTAAAGTCAGTAAGTTAAATCCAGGTAAGTTTAAAAAAATGAGGGTGATAGCATGGACAACCTCTTTGGCTCTAACATTCTGCAAGTTTCTTTAGGACTTATCACCAAATGCCCAGATGGTGTGGGGGCAAACACCCCACTGTCCAAGATTCCTGGCAGTTAGGTCTTTGGATTCCATGTCCTCTTCCTTGGAGATCCCTGGGCAGCCCCTGAGAGGGCTTCACGTGAGGTCAGACTGCCCCCCAGTGCTCCAGCCTAGAGCTGAGTGTAACCCAGCTCACTGGTGTGTGCTTGTGGCATGGTGTGCTGACATCCCCCTGGGTCACAGTGCTAGAGTCCTCACTGTGCCTCATTCAGTTAAAAGGAGTGCTATTTCTTTATCCAGACAATTCCTATTGTGCTATGAAAGCCAGGGCTGTGACAAGAGCTAGAGCTGACCATCTGGCACAACCCCTTCATTCTACTGGTGAGGAAACTGAGGCCCAGAGAGCAGATGTTACCTGCCAACGACCCCAGGAGCAGAGCTGAGATGTGGTAGCTCAGCTCTGCTCACTTCAGACCCACACTCATAGAACTCTCCCTCCCTTCCTATGAGAGACCAGTCAGTCTAGATACAGGAAACTGAAGAGAGCAGAATATTCTGGAATAACAAATTGGAAGGGACCTCAGAGGCCAAGGAGGACAATCTGTCCCAAAGCAGGAATCCTCTCTACAACAGCCCCAGCCTGTGCTTGCATACCTCCCATGATGTGGAACTCAGTACCTTCACTGCACTTTGGGACAGCACTGATTTTTAGGGAGTTTTTTTTTCCCCAACATCAGACTGGACTCTGTCTCCCTGTCTTCCCAGGCCTTGCAGCTAGTTTTGCCTTAGCTCTGTGTCTTAATCACGCCTCTAGTTAGTGGCAAGGACAAGCTAGAGCTGGGGTCGGCTTTTCTGTGGCTTTATGTGTCCCTTCCACATTGAGTAGGACACTGACAAGCTGGAGAGGGTCCAGGGAGGGCAGCCAGGATGATGAAGAGCCTGGCCTCCATGCCCTATGAGAAGGAGAAGGAGATGTTTAGCTTGGAGGAGAGAAGAGTCAGGAAGCTATGAGAATTTCTTCCAAGTACCCAAAAGACTATCATCTGGATCATGGATCAGTCTCGTTCTGCTTGACCCCAAAGAGAAGGGAGAACCCCGATCAGTGGGGAGAAGGAGCAGAGAGATTTAGGCTGGGTGTTGGGGAAAGAGCCTCACATCAGCGAGAGTCATCTCAGAGAGGAACGGGCTTCCCGCCCAGGAGACCTTCCAGCAGAGCCCAGGGATCCACTTGTTGGCTGTGTCCTAGAAGGATTTCTTCGTGCTCTCTTCTAACTCTGGGGTCCTGGGACTGCCCTTCCACTCGCCGGCCTGTCCCGTATGGCCCGCTATCCGGTGGCATCCAAGGGAGGAATGGTCAGAGCCGCTATGCTGACAGACTGAGGATCAAACCCAGCCTTGGCTCTGCCGGTCCTGGCAAGCTTGAGCCCCCCCATCGCCAGTCCCAGGGCTGGTTCTGTGGCCTGCCAGGGAGTCCATAGGGCCGTCCGACACCACTGGGAAAGGCAGCCCGCGTCACTTTGGGGAAAGCGATTGAGGAAGAGCGAAGCGAAGCTGAGAGATCATTTACAGGACACGAGAAAAAGAGGTTGGGAGGGTCGGAAAGCTCTTCAAAATACACTGCTGGCTGAGCAGTGAAAGGAGGCGAGCGCCCTGTTACTGGAAGTATTCAGAAAGTCCAGATGACCATCACTAACATGGTAGGATGGATCCCCGCCTACATCCCAAGATCTCAGGATTCCCTTAACACTGGCCTCATGGCTGCTCGCCCACCAAACGATGGTGAGCCCGCTCGTTGATTCCTCGGCGTTCACTCTGTGCTGCTGGGTCTGTCCCCCCACGTCTGGCATGCTCTCCCCCGTCATCTCCAGCTCCTGGCTTCCTTCAAGTCCTGACTAAAATCCCACCTTGTGCAGGAAGCCTCTCCCAGTCTGCTTCAGTCTAGTGCCTTCGCCATGTTGACCCTGTAGAGAGCTGATCTGTACACAGCTGTTTTCCTGGGGTCTCCCCTATTAGACTGTAAGCTCCTCGAGGGCAGGGGGGTCTTTGGCCTTTCTTTGTATTCCCAGTGCTTAGTACAGTGCCTGGCACATAGTAGGCCCTCAATCACTGCTTATTGACAGACTAAGTTATACAGTATGATGTAAATTAGATCATACTAAAACACACAGTAGTCCTTCCAGGGTGTTTCAGGCCAATGTTTTTAAAAATTATTTTAGAAAATTAATAGCAGCTGGCATCTGTATGGCAGAATGCATATGCAGTGTGCAGTTTTATTTGGTCCTCACAGCTCTGGGAGGTAAGTGCTATATCGTTAGTCCCATTGTACAGACAGGGAAAGTGAGGTGGGGAAGCGAGAAAGTGACTTCACAGAATTGTACAGCTACTACATGCCTGAGGCGGGATTTGAACCCTGGTCCTCCTGACACCCAAGCCTTATCCTGTCCGCTACCTTTCCCCTCTTTAGCCTGTATGGCATCAAGCAAAGAGGGCTAAACTGGGAGTCAGGAGGACCCAGGTTTGAAAGTCTCATTTTGATACTTGTGGTATGACCACCACCGAGTGTCTCCGTTTCTCTGAGCCTCAGGCAGGGCTGGACCAAGTGGGTGGAGGGACTTCTTAGAGCGAAGGACCCCTGGCTTCTCGACTCCCTAAAGATAACTCCCAGCAGCAGAAGCCCCAGCTGGTTCCCAGGCCCCACACCTGGGCAGGTAAGGAAGCCTGTGGCCAGGTGAGGGTTCTCCTCCCTCCCGAGATATTCCTGAAAGTCTCAGAATTCTTAGAGCCTCAACAGAACTTCTCAGCCCGTTGGGTTCAAGGCCTTTGGAGAAAACTGAGGCCGGAGTTCAGAACAGTTCAGGGCAGCTGGTTAAGGGCCTGGAGACACCGGGCTGGGCACTGCCTCTGGCACTTTGTGGCCTTGGGCCCCTGGCCAGGGTCCTGCCCTCCACCTCAGCCTTCCCCTCGGGGCAGTGAGAGGGAGCGCCTCCTTTCCAGGGCTCTTTGAGAGGCTCTAATGCCTGGAAAGTGCTTTGCAAACCTTTTGAAATGTCAGCTGTTACGGCTCTCACGTAGGAAAGATTGGGCAAATCACTGCCCCTCTCCGGGCCTCAGTTTCCTGACGTGTAAAAAGAGGGCTGGTGGCCCCAGCTCCCTCCCAACCCGAGAGGCCATGGTGACCAATCCGAATTCCTTTCAAAACATCCCACGGCTCTCTTAGACATTCGAGCCTGCAAAGAGCCAGCCGGGCCTTCTCTCCCTAGACCCTCGGAACATGCTGGTGAAGCAGGCAGCTGGATGACACTGAGGCCGGCCATCGTCATCAAGCTCCTAACTGTTGGTGCCTGGGGGAGAACTCAGATCTCCTGAGAACAAACAGTATTCCCTCCCCAACCCCACGCTGGCTCTGATGTGACCAGTGACAGAACGGAATCCTCTCCCTTGGTGGCCCAGGGGAGCCTCGGCACTTCCAAAGGCTTGCCCTAAAATGGGAGCTCTTCATTTGGACCAAGATTCTGGCTAATTGGAATCATTTTACCTGAATGAAAGAAAGAAATTCTAGCTAAAAAGCAGTATTTCTCACTCCAAGATCTCAGCAAACTAGAGTAGTTTTAACAGAACAAAAGAAATCCATTCTAGCTAAAAATTGCCAGCGTTCCCTCTGGCCTCAGTCCCCGGGTGACCTCAGTGAAGGACGAGCGCAGAGGTCGGCCTGGCCCAGCCCAAGAGGAAGCAGCAAGGCTTACCTGAGCCGGGAGTCCTTGAAGGTGTCCAGGTACTCAGGGTAATTCCACTCTATCTTGTTCCCTTTGCACCTCAGCTCCAGAGTCTGGCCAGCGGCCAGGCTCAGCGTGGCGGCTGGCTTCTGGAAGCGCCCCTTCTCCATCACCTGCATCATGATGGATGAGGTCTTGGGCACGGAGGCCACAGAGTCCCTGTCCTTCCCGGGGGCCAGGGTCGGCTTCCCTCGCTTGTTGGACGGCTTGATTTTGTTCTCTCCGGGCTCCTTCGGCCTCTTGCTCTTGGCAGACGCTTGGCTGGCAGCTGGAGGGAAGAAAGGATGAAGGCATCACATCAGTTCCTCTTGGGAATAGCCAACAGCCTAGAGCTGTGAAGCACCCAGGGGCCCAAAGTATCCTGGCACCCTGTGCACGGAGCAAGGACACTACGTGGGAATGCTGAGGGTGCTGTGGGGTGCAAGCCTGGGGAAGCCAGTGGCCTTCTCTGGATGGTGCTAGCTTGGAGCTAGCGCAAGTGTCAGCTGGCTGACTGTCACTCGGCACCTTAAGGTTGGCAAAGCCCTTTTGACACACATGACCTCGTTTGACCCTCACAGTCCCCGAGGTAGGTACTAATGGCATTATTAGCCTAATGTTATTCTTGAGGAAACTGAGGTTCAGAGAAATGACCTGTCTCACCCAAGGTCATACCACCACCAAGTAGTCAGAATGACAATCATAGCTGAAATTTGGAATTATGCCAAGAAATGGCTCCAATACCCAGCTCTTCTAACCTCGAGCTCCTGCTGCCGGGCACACACCCCACAGAGGTCAGAGTCAGAAAGACGGGTCTCACATCTGCCGTGATATCTCTAGTGACATTTTTACGGTGGTCAGGTAGACCACCTAGAAACAAAGTAGATGCCATCATCTGGGAAACAGCCAAAGAAAATATGGCGTGTTGCGGTAATGTAATACTGCTGCCCTGCAGCAAATGATGGAGACAGAGAATATGGAGGCATTTAAGAACTGATGCAAAGTGAAGGGAGCAGAACCAGGAAAAGAATGTGCAGGACGAGGAGGGCAATGTCGACGGAACGAACAAGAAACCCGAACTGAAAGCTGGCCAATTATAACGACCAAGACAAGACTGCATGCACCTCCTTCTATCCTCTACGGGGCAGACGGGGAGCTTTGGGTGCAGATCAGTACATACTCTTTCACACAGGCTCATGCGCCTCTAAGGCTGCTCCCTATGAAGGGAAGGCTGGGGACCCTGCTTCCAGGACAGCGGTAATGACGGCATGTGAGGGGAGGGCCTCGGAGAGACTCGGAGTTTGCAGAGTCTAGGAGAGGTAAACAGCAGCCTCAGTCTCTCTCTCTCTCTGTGTCTCTCTCTGTCTCTCTGTCTCTCTCTGTCTCTGTCTCTGTGTGCGTCTCTCTCCCCCCTCCCCCCCTCTCCCTCTCCTCCTCTCTGTCCCCCTTGCTCTCCCCACTCTATCCTCTTCTGTCCCCTTCTGACTCTCTCTCTCCCTCTCTTCCTCTCACCTCTCTCGTTTTCTGAAGACATCTGGGAATTACAATGTGCCAGGTAAGGGGAGAGGGCCCAGCACTCTCTCTCAATGACAACTGTCCTTTGATTAAGCATTTGTTCTTTCATTTTAAGTAGCAGAATTGGCAGCTCTGCTTCTGTCAGTTTTGAAAGGTCAGGAGAACATCCCATCCACATATCCAGGACACCAGACCAGAGGATAAGCACAAGCCGAGTTGTGCAGCCAGTTCACCATTGATGCCCCTGCAGGAACCAGCCCAGGTGCGGCTAAGGCTCCTCTAGCCACATCTGGGTGTCAGCTTGGTCAGATGAACAGAATCAGAGCTAAGTCTGAGCCCAGCCTCTGCAGAGCCTGAGGTGGTTATAAGGAAGAGGGCACTCCAAGTGCTGGGGGACAAACTCTGAGAGGGGGACGGGGCGGGGCCTAGCTTTAGGACAGTGAGCCCCAGCACCTGATTCCGAGATTGCTCAATTTGCCGAAAGGCTCGTCCTTCTTTCTCTTTTATTTTATCCGGCAGTTTGCTGGGTCGGATACTGGGGATGGATATTGTTGGAAGTGAAAATGATGTACACATAACGCGTAGCAGTAAAACAAAGTTTAAAAGCAAAGCTAAAAAGATAAAAGCAAAATTAAAAAGCAAAAAAACCCAAACCCTTTCACTATAATACTTAATATTTCTTTGTTTATATTTGTAATATAAATAATTGTATTTGTATGTTATATTAATATGCCTGTATATGGTATAAATATTTGTACGTATAATAGAATTTAAATATTTATTATATTATAAATTATGTTATAAATATCTATATTTGTAATAGTATATTATAAATAGTTATAGCTGTATTATAAATATAAACTATATTCATAACATAATATGACTATATTTATAATACAATAGTATTTTATGTTTTGTAAGTATTTATATTATATAACTATCATATTAACTCTAATAATTATTATAGTTATATTCTTTATATATAATATTATATATAATAATACATAACTATTTCCATTTGTAATATAAATATCCTCATCAGTGCTTAAGGGTTTGCAGAAAATTTTTAACATGCTGAGTCATTTGATCCTTGCCATACTCCATGAGGCAGGTACGCCAGGTGTCCTTGGCCCATTTTGCGGAGGAGCAAAGTGAGTCTCAGGTGTGTGATTTGGCCCAGGTTCCAAAGCCACTGGGTGCTGGCAGCAGAAATGGCCCTGAGACTTCTTCTGACTCCCGGTTTTCACTCTTTCCCCAATGCTGGCAGCGTGGAGCCTCTGTCGTTGGGGCATTCTGAGTGAGATGCAGGTAAAGCTGAAATCACTGGAGAAAGGTGGGCTTTTGTTTTGATTTTTAGTTAAATGAGAGTCAGTGACCCGGGCTTTGGAGTCAGGAAGACATGGGCCCAGGTCCCCCCTGACATCCCCTTGGCTATGTGGAGGACTGGGCAGCTCCAGACCCGGAGGAATAGACCAGGGGCTCACGGGTGCAGGTGGGGGGAGCTTCTATATCCCTAGCAATGGGTCTTTTCCATCTGGACCCCAACATGCCGCCTTGGTCCAGCCGAGGTGCCTGACAAGGAGCAAAATAAAAGCCCTGCTGGAGGCCAGCAGGGAAGGGGCCTTGCAGGCTCATCCAGGACACAGGGGAGATGTGGCCCAGGCGAAGAGCTCTCCCTTGTTCTGGGCTTCCTCTTTGCCCAGCTGCGTGACCTTGGGCACATCACTGAGCTTCTGTGAGCTCCGGCTCCTTCCCGTCAGATGGGACTACTCGGGCTTCATAGGGTGAGGAGGAAGCTGCTTCCCAAGTCTCCAAATACTCCACAGAGAAAGGTCTGCCTCAGAAGCAGCCCCTTCCAAGGGCGCCTGCTCATACTTGGGGCGTCAGCTTCATCCCAGCCCTTTCACCCAACGTCGTCTCCCCACCCTCACCCAGGTGATTTCCTGTAAGACTCAGGAGTTCAGCCTGAGACCCTGGCCCCATACTCAGCCTTGGACCCCATTCCTGCCCCAGAGACGGCCCTGGGACCAGGTGTCCCTCTGCCCCCCTGTCTTTCCCTTCTGTCCTTTATTAATGCTAGTCCAGGACTTAGTGGTCCAGACTAAGTGGAGACTTAGTCTCCAGAACTTAGAGAACGGGGTGGGGGGGGAGAGGTGGAAGAGGGGCTAGAGTAATGATCTTACATAGTAAAATGTCATCCCAGGAAGTGAAACTCTGTCAGACTTTACCTGCTCCCGTTTGTGAACATCAGCCTCCAAACGGCTGATATGCTTACCCGACCTTGAGGTCACCAGTCCTGCTGTCTAAGGCCATTTGAATTGTATCAGGAGCCCAGTGGGCAGCCATAGAAAAGTCCCCACAGGGCAGACCATACCCGAATGGAAACACATCCGGCACCTGCTTGGAGTCCCCCAGAGGAGACCTCTCCAGGCGCCCCGTTCCACTTTGGGATGCCTCTGTTAGGCGTGTCTTCCTGGCATCAAACCTTCCCACATCTGCCTCCTCCAGCACTCACTCCCAGCTTGGAAGATTCTTAGCTACAGCGTCCCCTGGATCACGTGAGAAAGCTGGACTGGGTGACCCTGACGCCTCTCCACTCTAGCGCCCGGGAACCTGTGGGGATGTGTGCCTGAGAAGGCTGTGGGGGTCCCTGGTGCTCTGGGTCTGGAGTCTGCGGAAGCCCATGGCTCATTTGGGGCAGCGCGTGTTTCTTGGATTTTCCCCAGCACGGGAGGTTTGCTGTCTCCCCTGAGCTCTCGGGAGCCAGCCCCTGAGGAAGGAGAGCCTGGCCCACACCATTCTGGCCATGCCAGACCTGAGGGGAGGAGATGGAGAAGAGCCCCCACCCACGCCCTTTCTACAAGGTATTGGAAAAGAGAACGCTGTCAGCAGAAGCTTCCTCCAGGAAGTGCGCATGGGAAGTGGAGGCAGGCCCTGGGGAAAAGCGGGGGCTTGGTGCCGGCCCCTCTCTGGCTGGGGGCCCTGGCGCTGCTCACGGCAAACATTGGAACCCAGAGCTGGCCCTAAGTCTGTTCCCTGGACAATCAGTGCCTAGTCATCTGGGCCCAAGGACCACGCCAAGAACCTGGAGCACCCCCAACAACAGATGAGGCGGAAATGGTCAGCCTCACGGTTTGAAGCCTTGACCGAGTTTCAGATACCGGGCTTGGTGTGGGCATCCTCTCCACACCCACTGACGGCCAGGGGAAGGTGGCAGCCCAGAGAAGACACTAAGGATGGAAAGCTGTCTGCAAAGCCTCTGCCAGCAGGAAGCCAGAGCAAACAGATTCTTCTGGCAAGCTAGCAGCTCCCATGGCTCCTTCTGGCCCCATCAGACCCTGCACCCAGGTCGGCCCCTGGTCCTCTAAGCTGGTACACACACACTGGCCAGGCAGCTGGGCCTTTTCACCAGGCAGCGTCTGACCAGCAGACCTGGGCCCTGCTCTCCTGACAGGCCCAAAGCTGGCATGAGGGCCTTGCTCCCCTGTGATGGGCACCAGCAGAGGCTTTGTTCTTCCAAGGGCATAGACTCCCAAGGGGCCCTGAGCAAGCCTGTCTTTGGTTATGGTTATCATTATGTTGGGCAGATTCTGGGCAACTCACGGAAAAGGAGAGACTGGTCAGGGTGGACAAGAGATGAAAAGCATGGCCCAGTGGGGCATGACCCTAGCAGTATGCCAGTCAGGCCTGCCAGCTTTCCACGAGGCCACTCAGAGAAACAGTGGAGGTGTGATCTCTGCCTCTGCAGATCAGGCAGGCATCTCCCAGCCCGCAGGGTGCCTGACACATCTCATGGAGCCTCATGACCCCTTGGAAAGAAGACTTCAGGTGTTATTATCCCCACGTTAGAGATGAGAAAACCAAGGCCCAGAGAAATCACACTCTCCTAGAAGCCTAGATCTGGGCTGGGCTGGGAGCCTTAGAAATGATCTAGTCCAACAGTCTTATTGAACAGATGAGGAAACTGAGGCACAGAGGAATTAACTGCATAAAAACACGATTTCAGATCGTGTTTAAGCACTAAAAGGGACCCCAGAGGCGGCTAGTCCAACTCCTCATCTTACAGATGAGGAAACTGAGGCAGAGGGACATGTAGAGGAGGGAGCACCACTGGCTGTAGGGACACACGTCCACACTTGCCCCCACCACAGCAGGAGGTCAGACGCCAACCTCCCCAAAGCACGCCATCCTGTTGGAGGGGTGGCCCTTTCTGCAGGAGGCCATTCCTGGTCCCCCCCAAAGTGACCTGCCCGGCTAGGATGTGTCCCAGACAGGATTCAAACTCAGGTCTTCCTGAGTCTCAACAGCACCACCTAGCGGTCTCCGTCATCACTGCGACCAGCATCTTCACCATCTCTCTGTTTTCCTGCACCACCAACTACCACATTTGTCATATCAAAGAATCTAGAATCGGAAGAGACCACTAGGCCCCCATGGCCCAGCCCCTAGGAGAAGTAGACTGCCCTCGACCTCATCCCCAGAAGGCGGCCCATCCATCCTTTACTCACGCACCTCCAAGGAAGGAGAGCTGTCCAGGCAGAGCACATCTACCTGGCTGCCTGCCCCCCTATTCCTGCCATGGCTCCCTTTCTCCCCAGCCTGTGTCTTACTTCTAGGTTCCTTCCTTTCACACCCTGCAGCAGTCCTGCTTGATGTCTCAGAACCCCCCCCCAACCTGTCCCCCAAATGCTCCCCAGCCTCCCTTTGAAGTCTTCCAGGGAAGGGGACCTCATCGCCTCCCCCAGCAGCTAATTCCCCTGGGGGACAACTCTTATGAGCAGCACTTTTTTTTTTTTTTACCTCAGGCCTTCAAAAGTACACTGCTCTTAGCTCTCTGCCCTTTGGAGTCTGGGAGAAAGGATTCGACCCTATGAAAGTCCTACAAAGAGCCCTCTGGAGTCAAAGGACCTGGGTTCCAATTCCGACCCTGTCACTGATTGTGGGTGAGTTCGGGCCAGCCCTGCTCTTCCTCATAGCCCCCATCACACCCCTTTTTTCCAGGTCGGGTGTTGTGTGTGTGTGTGTGTGTGTGTGCGCGCTCGCGCGCGCTCGTGTTGGAAGAGAGGAGGGAACTCCCAGCTAAGTGCGACAAATTTCTTGCCGTCCCCCCTTCCTGGCCGGACCCTTGCAGCTCGGCCAGTCCAGGGCAGGGGGCGGATTCTCCGAGTGGGCCGCTCCCCTCCCCCCACCTCCAACCCAAGGCTTCAGAGCCCCCTATCCCGGAAAGCAGCTGCAGGGTTGCCAGGAAGAGGGGGGGTCCGTTCCCAAGAATGGGTAAGGAGAGCTCCCTTCCCCCTCCCCAGACACGTGGACACGGATAGAGCTGGCAGAGATGTGGGGATGGGTTAGACACGGGGGTAGTGTGAAGTTTGGGAGACTGACATCCTCGGCAGAGATGTCCTGTGCTGGAGCTCGGAGGCCAGTGTCCCCTCGCTCCCAGCCCGCAGCCCCCACCTCAGTTCAGCCCTCACCTGTGGACAGTGCCTCGGGGAGCAGCAGGAGCAGCAGCAGCAGCAGTGGGGGACGAGGCGGGGCCCCCTGGACCGCGGCATCTTCCTCGGAAGCCCCAGCCCCAACTCTGAGCTCAGCCCCAGACGCCTCCCTGTCCCCCGGCCAGGGCAGAACTCCGTTGACATGGAGTTGGTTGGCTAAGCGGAGGGCTCCCCACCTGCCCTCTGGTGGCCACTGTCGGGAAGGGCCGAGAGGAGGGTCTGGGTCGGCCCTGGCTGCTGCAACAGACGCTTTGGAGCCTGCGGAGCCGGGAGGGGGCCGCCAGCCCCCCCCCCAGGTGAGAGAGGACACTCGAGACCAGCCGGAAGAAAGGACTTGTCCAAGGTCACCTCTAGCCTCGTAGATCCAGAGCCGGCCCGCAGATGCCACCTACACCAAGCCCCTGGTTTTATAGAGGAAACGGAGGCCGAGGAGGGGAAAGCACCTGCCCAAGGCCACCCAGCGAGTAGGTGGGCAGAGCCTGGATTCAGCCACAAGCCGGCGTTGATTCAAGGTCCTCTGAATCCTACCAAAGCCACTTCATTGACGCCACGGATTAAACACCTGCTGGGTGCCAGGAGCTGAACTAGGTGTGGGGGGCCCGAAGGCCAAAAGGAAATAGTTCCATGGCCTTTGACGTGTCCCCAGCTCTAGGGTCCCGCCTCTGTTGGTTATCTCGTTTATTCGTCTGTAGTTTGTCCTAGTTATTGGCATGTTGTCTCTTCCATTAGACTGGAAGCTCCTTGAGGGCAGGCTGTATTGTTGCCTTTCTTTGTGTTCCCAGCACTTAACACGGTGCCTGGTACACAGTAGGAGCTTAATAAATGTTGGCTGAGTTTTTCCAGAAAGACTTCATTGATCCCCGAAGTCAGTAACTCTTAGCTTCCCAGGGCTTAGCACAGTGCCCCCGAACATAGTATGCGCTTAATAGAACCTTCAAGAAAATTGCTTCTGTGGAAGAGACAGATATACGGAACTCTGTAGTCTCTCCCCGTCTATGTGTCTTTACGTAACTAACATAACGCATACAGAATAAAAACAAGGCGGTGTTGGGGAAGGCACGAAGGCAGGGAGCCATTGGCTGAGGTCAGGAAAGGCTTCAGGTAGATGGAGGCATCTGAGCCTCTGAGTAATGAAGGAAGGGATCAGATCTGGGAGGGGGAGGCATGCCGGAGAGCCAAGGAAAATGCGCAGAGATGGGAGTGAGGAACATGAAAAAATCCGTTCTGCCTGGATTACAGTGTGAATGAAGAAGAGGAAGGTGTAAGGACTGCAAAGGGAGGAGGGGACAGGTGAGGAAAGGCTTTGAATGCCAAACAGAGCATTTGGTATTGGAACCTGGAGGCGATAGGGAGTCACCGGAGGCTTATCGGGGGGGGGGGGGGGGAGGAGAAGGGTTGTGTTTGACGTGATCAGAGCCAAGCTTTAGGAAAGTCACTTTAGAGGTGGGATGGATGAAGGATTAGAGCAGGGAGAGACTGGAGGTGGACAGCGCCCCTCTCCCCCCAGCAGTTATTGTAATAGTCCCGGTGGCGGGGTGGTGGTGGGGTGATGCAGTATCAGAGGAGAGAGGGGGGCGTATTGGAGAGACATTACAAAGATGAACTCTACAGGCCTTGGCCACAGCTTGGCTATGGGGGAGGGGGTGTTAGAGACAGGACCCAGAGGTGACTCCCCCAGGGGCTGGGAGAAGAGCGTGGCCCTCAGCAATCACGGGGGCGTTTGGAAGGGGGAAGAATAGAGGGGACAGATGAGTTCCACTGGACGTCGTATGAAGCCACGAATCTCCACTCTGTATGGCTTGTGTCTTAAGCGGTATTTCAAACCTAAGATGTTCATTTGCACATTGCCCGGCTCCTCAGAATCCCATTCTGAGCTTCCTTCTCTTCTTTGTATTTTTAAAAATGTGTCATTGATGCTTTTCTGCTTTCCCCCTCTACTTTTGTGGTTGTGTTCACTCACCTTCCCTTTATTCCCCCACCCCCAAGTAAAAGGCTTCCCAGTAATAAGTAAAAGTCCAGCTCACCCTCAGGGGTTACTTTTCCCAACTCTCACTCTCATTGACTGGTTAGGCCCCAGAGCTAAGCTGACTACTTCTCCTTACTAACTTATCAGGGGTAACTGGGAGGGCCTGTGGTGATTAGACTGAGGTCTCTGGTACTATGCCTCATGAACCACAAGGCCAGGGGCCGGGCTCCTCACTGATGAGCAAGCATCCAGCCATATTTATACTGGACCAATGAGATCTTATTTGTCACGTGCCTAGCACTGTGCCCAGCACACAGTAGGTGCTTTTAATAAACGCTTATTCTTATGCTACTTTGTCCTGTGTACCTAATCTCTTTCACTATTCAACATTTCTAATTTTCTCAACCAGTGCCAGACAGTTTTGATGATTATTCCTTGGGAATATAGTTTGACATCCAGTACTGCTAGGCCCCCTTCCTTCCTTCCTACTTTTTTTCATTATTTCCTTTGATATTTTTGAGCTTTTGTTTCTTCAGGTAACATTTGTTATTTTTTTTTCTAGTCATATAAAATTACCTTTGGGTAGTTTGAATGGCATGACACTGAATCTGTTCGTGAATGCTTTCACATCACTTTTGCTAAATTGACAGGGCCCAAACATGAACAGTTACTATCTCTCCACTTACTTAGGCCTATGTTCATTTCAATAAAGAGTATTTGGTAACTGTGTTCATAAAGTTCCTGTTTGTGTCTTGAGAGGTGGACTTTCACATGTTTTCTATATCCTGTGGTTAGTTTGAATGGAATTTCTTTTTTAATCTATTCCTGTTGGGTTTTTTTCCTAATATACAGAAAGGTAGATGATTTTTGTGTATTTATTTTATATCCTGCTATTTTATGAAATTACTAATTGTTTCAATTAATTTTTAGTGAAGTTTTTCCTGATCTTTTTTCTTGATCTCAAATCTCCCTCTTTATAATTTCCCTCTATTGCTCCTAGCTCCTCCCTGTGGAGATAAGCAGGTAAGGAGCCATTGGAGTATATACAGGAGGGAAGTCATGGCCTTGCCAACAGCCTGGATCTGGGGGGAGTGGATGGTGAGAAATCCAGGATGGCTCCTAGGTTAGCAGCCTGAGGGATGGGGAGGGGGTTGCCCTTACAGTAATAGGAAGGTGGGAGGGGAGGAGAGTTAAGGAGGATGACAATGAATTCAGTTTTGAGCATATTGAAAGTAAGATGTCTACTGGACAACCAGTTCAAAATGTCTGAAAGGCAGTTGAAAAGGCAAGACAAATTAATTATTTTGCATTTAATAACTAATTATTGTGTTAGGACCAAGATTTTCCCCCTTTTCTACTTAACCAGTGTGGGAAATCTCTGTTAAAGATTTACCCAGGCCAAGATCTAATCAGACAGTAAAAGAAATTCTAACTTTGAACTAATGGGTGCGTTCCTGCTCATTGGGTTGCTTCTACAGGCCTGGGGAAAGGTTGATTCTCCCTATTATCAAGACAGGTGAAAAAGAAATTGATATCTCTTTGACCAAGATTTGAGTGACCTAAGTCATGTACCCCAAGACCTTCATTTTAACACGGCCCGCACCTCCCATCGGTTAACCAATCCAAATCAACCGCCACCCCTCGGGAACACCTACCCTTCGAAGGGCATATAAACTGTGACCCCCGGCCATTAGGGGTCTTTGGTCTGTGCATTAGCCACACACAAAGATGCTAATCCCCCTGATCACGCTATCACCTCCAAATGTGGTGTTTACGGGCTTTGGAACCCCAAATGGCTCACAAAGAGTGGGACACAACTGAAAACCCCTTCACAACCACACAGAGGGGGAGGTGGGGGTTTGAATGATCACCTTCGGGGATTCAGAATCACTGGGTTTGGGAGAATATGACTGGGAGGTTAGCAAGGCTTCGGCCTCAGGGTGGGAGTCCCACCAGGGCCTGGGCAGTGGAGGTGTGGGACGGTCACCAGATCCTTGGAGGCTGGCCACGCTGGTCAGGCCAGGAGGCAGCACAATGATCCTGCCTCTTTCCATTGCAGGAAGCTAGGAACAGGCCGAGCCAGGAAATCTATGGAGGGAACAGGATGGACTACATTTCTCTACTTCCCCTGCTGGCCTGGACTCAGCCGAATGGTGTTTCTCTCTCCCTACCCTGTGGGCAGGGAAAGGCCAGGGGAGGAGAAGGAATGGCTTTTCTCCCCTAGTCTCTGACAGGGTGCCGCTAGGGGAAGCAGGAAGCTGCAGTTTGTAAAAGCCCTGGCAGCATTTAAAGGGCCTGGGTTCTAATCCCGCCTCTGACACTAGCTAAGTCACCTTGGGCACATCAATCTCTGAAACTCCATGTGCCTCAGTTTCCTTCCCTGTAAATCAAGGGGAGATGAGCTCTGAGGTCCCTTGCCTCTCGAGTTCTGACTTGGTCATGTGTTCAAGTATTTGGCTCCCACATGGCCGGGGTGGGGAACCTGTAGCCTGATTCAGCCCAAGGGCCAAACTTGAGGACCTAGAGGGCCATGTGTGGCCTTGAGGCACACCCCTGCTATGGACTACCAGGGAGTCTTGAGGGGAGCTCTTGTTGAAACCACTGGCAAATGCTTTCTTGAAATCCAGCTGGGATGTGAACTTAATTAACAGGGGGGTTATTTAGATTCATGAACATAGAACTGTCTCTAGGATCTTTAGAAAACCTTTAGCTTGGCAGGGGCTGGTAACCTGGAGTCCAGGAATGTGTTGGGCTTTCTTTCCGTGATGATAACTCGATTTCAACATCATCAGTTTTCTTTGTGACCCTCTATATTTTATTGCACACATTTGAAAACTTCTTTTTTTTCTGGTCAGGAGTCCCAGACTGTCAAAGGGAGTCAGGATCTGAAAAAGCTTAGGAACTTCTGACTGGAGGCAGACCTGAGGAAGCGACAGGCATTAACAAGCATTTACTTAAGTGCCTGCTATGTGTCTGGCACTCTGCTGGACTCCAAAGACACAAAGACAAAAATGGCCCTGACCTCAAGCGGCTTACATTCCTCAGAGGGGACCATGTGACACGTTCACAAATAAGTAAATCCAAAACCCATACCAGGTTATACAAAGAAATTTCAGGGACACTAACAAGTGAGGCCATCAGGAAAGACTTAGGCAGGTGGCAGCTAACCTGCGCTTTGAACAGGAAGCTAGGCTTCTTACAAGACAAAAGTGAGGCATAAGTGCATTCCAGATTTGGTGGATGGCCTGTGCAAAGATGGAATGTTGGCTGTGGGTCAAGTTAGCCAGAATGGAGAGTACCTGAAAGGAAGCAATATGAAAAGCAAGTGGAAACCATGTTGTGCCAGACCGAAAATAGAGTATTTCATCCCGGAAGTAATGAGGAGCCACAGATTTTTCAGTAGGGGAGTGGCAAAGAACTTTGCCTTGAATATCAATCGTCAACAAGTATAGTTTTTGTTTTTGGTCTGCAGTGTGGAAGATTGGTTGGAGAGAGGAATGAGGAGAAGCAGGAAGCTCTGTTCTAAGGGTATTGGAGTAAGGAGGTGAAGAGGAGCTGAATTCAATTCAACTCTATCGAATAGTTCTTCATTGCCTTCTGTGTGTCAGGCACTGTGCTCAGGGCTGGGAATACAAGGACCAACAGAAAGTCATCCCTGCCCTCAAAGAGCTTCCATTCTCCTGGGCCACTGTAGAAATTGTGTCACTGGGGAGAAAGGGCATGTCTTCTGGCAATTCAGAAGCTGCAAAAGGGAGGAAGCCTGTAGCTGGATGAACAAAATCTATCTTGGGCTCTTCTGAAAGGCCATTCATTAGCTTAATGGGGCAGGCTCACTTTGGTGGTTTTAGGAGGTGGTCCCAGTTAAAGAGCTGTATTCTTCTTCTGCCCTTTAAAGGCAGAAAACCCTCTGCCACCTGGAGTGGATGGCAAAGACCTTCATCTGTGTGGCCATACCCCCAGCCAGTGGACTCATGCTTTTCCTCAACTCTCTCAAGGCCAGGGGACAGTGAGGCACTGTCTCTCTGGACCTTCCCCCTCCTGATTCACCCCTGGGAAAAGCCCTCTGTAGCTTCCTAAGTGGCTTTGGTATTCAATGCTCTTTCCTGCCAGCTCCCTGCCAGTTGGAGCTCCTTGGACCCGGACTTTAAGAAACCCTAGTAACCTCTAACTAGCAAGTAGCATCAGAGGGATCCTTGTCCCTGGGGAGTAGGTCAGAAAATGTAAAGTGTCTATACTCCTTAACTCCCCTGCCCCCAGGCTGAAAACACACCTCCCATCCCTGCGGGATACATCACACTGAGTTAGGTAGAACCATCAGTGGAATCCCACTTGAGGCCCCCAGGGGGTGCCAGAAGATGAGGCATTTTCCATTTTGCCATTGGGTTCACCATTGGGTACTGTTTTAGAGCCCAAAAGGGCCTCGGAGGATACTACTTCTACCCCTCATTTCACAGAGAAGGGAACTGAGGCCCAGAGAAGTCAGATGATATGTCCAAGGTCACCCAGGAAGCAGCAGGGCTCCTGACTCCACATCCCCTCAACTTCTGAATATCTAACCACCTGCACTGAAGGAATGGGCATGGGGAGCGTTGGGTGGGGGGTGGGACTCCGGGGCCAGGCCAGACAGGCCCAGTCGTCCCAATGCGGGGCTTAGCAGAGCCTGAGAGCCCGGGCACCTCAGGGATGCAGAAAGGGAGGGAAGGGGCTTCCAGGAGCAGGGCTGAGCACTCGTCCTCCTCTCTATCTTCAAGAGGCAGAATACTGGGGAAAGGAAGGTGAACTTCAGCTACATCTCCGGGTCAGTCTTGGGAGCCTTTAGAGTATTCTCGTAGTGGGAAAATGTGTCCCCAATTTTGGGAATGCTGCCAGCAGGCTTCAGCTGGAGGAAATGAAGGGGGTCCTTTGGCCTGGAGAAAAGTCTGGGGTGAGGGGTAGCCATACAGTTCTGCTTGGCCCTGGGGGGGAAGAGCCCCAAGCAATGGGAGGTGGGGAAGCCTGAGGAGACAGATTCCAACTTGGTGTAAGAAAAGACTTCCTTCTAATGAGCTGTCCAAAAGTGGACAGAGACCCAACGTGGGTATAGGACGCTGCCCTCCCCATCACGGGACCCTAGATCTGGAGTTGGGAAGGGCCATCAAGTCCAGAATGCTCCCTTTGCAGATAAGGAAATTGAGGCTGAGGAAGGCCATGCCAGAGGTGAGATTTGAACCCAGGTCCTCTCACGCCAGAGTTAATGCTCTTCACTGTATCCACCTCCCCATCATCTGTAGTCTAGCTGTTACCAGAGGGATGGGGAGGGGGGAGATTGGGATGGGAAATGGGGAGAGGGGGATGGGGGAAAGGCAGGCTCAGCAGCACATGTGGATCCATCCAACCATCCAGAGAAGCAACATGGAATCATGCAAAGACAATGACGGGAACACCCTTTGACTTGGAGATCTCCCTACTGTTCCCAGAAGTTCTAGAGAAAGTCAGCCCTTCTACCCCAAGGCAGCAAAAATGTTCCTAACAGCATTTTTTCCCCTGTTAGTAAAGAACTGGAAATGCAGTGGATTCTCATCAGTGTGGGAAGGGCTAAGTGGAACACAAGAAATGAACCGTGAGGATTCAGAGACGCCCAGGATAGGAACAGATGCAGAAACGAGGCCAGCAAGATTAGGAAGCAGTGACTGTGACTGTAACGGGGAAGGGAAAGTGCAGTGCCAGCCAGATCGAATGCTACCGAGGTAGAATGCCCAAATTGGGCTTGGGAGAGAGAAAGTGCCCTGTACGGAGGAATGAGGTTATGGATGTGAGAGGCCCTCTGAACAGTTAGACGTAGTCATGTGCCGCTGCCCGACAACCTTGTCTCTCCCTTTTTGTTCGTTGTTTCAAGGGATGGCTTTCTGGGGTGGAGATGGGGGCGGGGGAGGATAGCCCACCATTTTACAGAGGTGGAAATTGTTAAGTCACTTTTCAGTCATGTCTGACACTTTGTGGCCTCGTTTGGAGTTTTCTTGGCAAAGATCCTGGAGTGCTTTGCCATTTCCTTCTCCAGCTCATTTTAGAGGAAGAAACTGAGGCAACAGGGCAAAGTGATTTGCCTAGGGTCACACATGTGGTAAATATCTGAGGCTAGATTTGAACTCTTGGAGATGAGTATTCCTGACTCCAGGCTAGGCACCCCATCCACAGAGCCACCCAGCTGCCCCACGGAAGTGGAAACTGAGACCCAGATTAGAGAAATGGCCTGCTCCAAGACACACAAGGAGCAAGTAGAAGGGGTGGGGCTCTTCTAACTCCTTGTCTGGGGCATCTCCCACCATGGGAAGACCATCAGGCAAGAGCCAGGACACTCCAGTCCTTGGTCCAAGAGCTACCTTATAGATTCAGGAGGACCTGAGTTCAAATCCTGCCTCAGACACACTAGCTGTGTGACCCTGGGCAAGTCACTTAAGCCCATTGCCTGGACAAAAACAAACAAAAAAGCCAAACAAACCAAGAGCTACCCTAATTTGTGAGATCTTGGCCAAGTCACTTGGCTTGTTGGGGCTTAGATTCCTCAGAGATGATCTCTGTTCTAGAAAAAGACTCTGTACAAAACCGCATGATGAAGGGAGGGAGGGAGGGACCTTTGGGAGTATAATTCTCCAATCCGTATTGGGTGGGGGAAAAAGACAAGGAAGAGTCAGATGAATTACGACCACGTATTTATTTTTCTTTCACAAAACAGGATAGAAGGAAAGAATAACAATAACAACAACAACAACAACAATAATAATAATAATAATAATAATAAACACCCTCCATTCTCCTCCCAAGCTCTCTGGAACGCCTGCCTGGAATGTTCTTTGCATTGCAAAGAAAAGGAGGGTCCTGGAGAGTCTGCCTGGCACGGCAATTAGCAGAATGCGTTTTCTTTCCTGGGATCAGCAGCTCAGAAAAACAGTCGCTTTACTTTTAGGTGAAGCCAGCCCTTGGGTTCAGTGACCACCCACTGTGTGTCACGTGGGCAGAAGGGATGGGGGGGGACCAGACGCCCGGACACGACCCCCTGAGAACACGGCGTGAGGCAGCAACAATAGCCCTCCAGGAACCCCATCAGAGTTGGAAAATAAGGCACGTGGCAACAAGAAGCTTTCCAAGTTCTGGGTTCGAGGTCGACTTCATGCTAGAAACATATAAATACCTTGTTCTTGGAAAATACCATTAAAAATCTTATATACACTATAAAATTGGATCTCAACATAGCTTAACACCTAAAAACATTCTGTAAAAACACCTGTTAATAGAGAACACCACATTGAATTTTTGACCCACCTTAAGATCTCATTCCTTGAAACTGTGCCATAAACCCAACTATCTCTATGATTTCTAAGCACATATGTAAATGTTTGCATGTATATATAGAGGCACATGTGTGTGTGTGTGTGTGTGTGTGTGTGTGTGTGTGTGTGTGTGTGCATATATACCTCCCCACCATCCTCATCTGGAGGAAGGTCTGACTGGCTAGGCAGGTCCAGACCTTAATTAACTATCCTGTGACACAGGAAAGGAAATCTCAATTAGAAAAAAAAAACACCACCACAAAAACCAGGGACCATAGTGGAAAAGACTAAAGATAAGGACAGTGCTGTGTTACATGTGATGCAGACTTAAAAAAAACAAGCTGAGACAAAACTCTGCAGAGGAGATCCTCAGGTTTCCAGGAAGGACCCTTTTCTTGTACGGGGAAATGTTTGTATTTGCTAATAATGACCAAATTCCTTCTTAGAAAATGCATTTTTGAAAGGCCCTAGTGGTTTGGCTGGGGTGTCTACTGCTTGCCAAACACATTTCTACATCTGATCATTAAGAGAGGATTTCAGGGGAAGGCCTGTCTCTTGGTTTCTTTTCTTCCATGGGAAAGGGCCTTCAGATGAGATCTCCATCAGTTGTCGTACGTCACTTTGCTTCCCCTGGTCTGTTCCCTCCTTTGTAAAATGAGGCTGAACTAAACGGCCTTGGAGGGCCCTCCAGCTCTAGCTCTTAGGTCTTAAGATCCTAAGTTAGATTTTAGAATGAGAGTCAGGGTTCTTGTCCTTCCAAAATAGAATAGTAGCCTGTGATTTGGGAGACCAGAAGCTCGTGGCTTCCTCTCCCTCTCCGCCCACCAATTAAGGAGTCAAGAAATGTGGGGCCCCCAGAGTGGGAACTGCACTGAACCATTTCCACTGGGCCATGACTCTGAATGTTCTCTGGGCCCTCTAGGGCAGTGCATGCCCCACAGGTATCCAATACTCAGCACCATGCTAACTATCCCCCATCCCCAAGGCTGAAAACTCCAGAAGTACATCTCTTCTTCGACTAAGAAAGGCACTGATTTGGGGAGTAGCAACTCACCCCTACAGCAGAAACTGAGCCCCTGTTCTTGCTCCCAAAGGCCTACTTGGAATGGGCCTGGATGCTAGGCTCGGCTAACTTCAGGGACTCTCATGTTTTTGTTTCACTCCTTGGCCCAGATTTTCTGATCACTGCACCCCTGACCAGGCATGGCGCCAGCATCTGCTCGTACCCTTACCCTGCTAGGAGACAGGAAAGTGGTTGCTGTTACCAGTGTTGACATGTAGTCATTTACAACAACCCCGATTTACAGTGCCAAACAGATGGAAATACTTTTTAAAATGGGAGCAAGGAAAACAGAAATATACCTTAACAGGTTTCCAAAAGAAACAGGGTGAGAGGTGCACCCTCCAGCGAGGCCTAGCTGCTTTTGGCTAACCAGGAAAGGACAGCTTAGGAGTAGTTTTGCCTTTTCCTCTTACTTGCTTTCCCCTCCCACCTCATCATTCAAAGAAGGTAGAAGTGAAGGCTTTGGGCAGCAGGGGAATAAGAGAAAATCCCAACCAAAGCAAAGCAGTGGAGTTAATGGCCCAGAGGAGGGGCAGCAAGTTAAAGTCTGGCAAAACCCAGTTATCCTGTGCCTCCCACCCCAAGCTAGGCTGCTGGATGTCTGAACTCTCCAGGAGGAGGAGCCTGTAAGTTTGTTTACTTCAAATCCTCCCCACCCCACCCCTCCCTTCTCCACTTGGACAGGGATAGCACAAAATGATGATAGACTCGCTGCTAAGCTAGAGTGGGAAGATTCCTCAGCAATTGAGTTCAACCCCGTCCACTTATGGAGGAAGCTCAGAGATAGCAAATGACTTGTCCAAGGTCATGCAGCTAAGAAGCAGCAGAACCAGGATTGGAAGCCAGGTCCTTTGGTACCAATTCCAGTGTTCTTCCCACCATGACAGTAGTAGGTGCTTAAGAAATGGTTGTTGATTTAAATAATTATTCAATGCTGTGGAATGTTATGTCTACAGTGTATTACAAGTCTGAAGCAAATGTTCATATTCACTAATTTATTAGATATATTTCTTTACTAGAGAGGGGTCATCTTAAGGGATCTACTGTTGGCATTTATTAAAAAACTGCTGAGGACACTTGTCCTTGTCCCTGCTCTGCCGCTCCCCCAAAGCCCTCTTTCCACTGGAGCTACGAGGGATGGACAAGAATGTGACCCTGTGGGCTTCAAGGAACAAAGCCAAAGAGGCAATTGAAGAGGCCTGTGGTATCCCCCACCCCCTCCATGTGAGGCACATACAGCATCCTGCTACTCAACAGCCTTCAATTTCCACAAGAGCCGCCCAGCAAGGGCTAACTCTGGCAGGCCTATATGTGACAAAATTAAACAAACAAACAAAAACCCAGCAAGGTGCAAGTGCAGCTCTGGTTTCCCCTCTCCCATTTATCTGTGGGCTCATCCCCCGAGAAGAGGACCCTCCAGGACATGCCTGGGCCCCAGACATGGCGCTCTTGTCTGGGCTCACTCAGCCCACAGGCACAAACATCAGAGGGGGGATATATGGCAAGAGCAGCAGACCGAGGACAGTGGAACCTGGCAGAGAACGCCTGTCCCAGTTTCCAACAAAAGACATATGGAGCATTGGGGCTGTGCTGCCCAGCGGAGAGTGCACAGGCATCAACATCGACTTGTCCGGTCCAGAAGAAGGAATGGACGCTGGCCTTGCCCTATGTAAGGCTGCTGTCCTCAATAGGGCTTTTTTTTCTTCTGCTTGCCCCACCATGTTCTCCAAATATACGCCTTCATCCTCATGCCTTCGGCTCCCTTCTAAGCTGTGTCTGATGCCATAAGAAAAGTAAATGAGGAAACCTTCGAGAAAGACAAAAGCACCCATTAGCAGTTTTACCTCTGCTGGCACAGCCAGTGCACCGAACGCCCCCATCTCCTTGGGGTAGGTCGCTCACTGTGAAATGAAACCTCTTCTTGTTCTCCTACCTCTAGAGCTGGACAGACCTCAGAGACCATCTGGTCCAACATCCTCAATTTACAGGTGAGGAGACTGAGGCCCAAGGAGGGAGTATGACCTGTTCAAGGTCACACGGGTAGTAACCATTAGCTATGGGTCTTGTCTCCCATTGGCAGGCCCTCTGACTCTACAGCCAGAGCTTTCTCCATTGCACCCCAACTCTTTCATTTCCCTCTTAATTGCTGAGCTAGCAGGCTGCATTCACTCATTTGCAATTCTGTCCCCCCCCAATAAATCTCATTTCTGCTGTGATTGAAGATTTCAAATGCTTTCCTCATCAGAAGCAGACTGGCCTAGGGGTCCAAGAGGCAGCCTCAGAGCCAGCAAGACTTGGGTTCAGGTCCTGCCCTGATACATGCTGGACCTAGGGCAGCCCTCTGAAACTGGGACTTCAGTGCCTACCATAGGGGACCCAGTGCCTACCATAGGGGACAATTTATCATTCTCATTTTAGAAATGGATAGACAGATACAAGTAATGCCACTGGTCCACGTTGCCTAAACTAAGATGTGTGGAAGGTAGGATGAGGGGCAAGAAGAGAGTCTCTATCCTATGGACCTCCCATTGGCCCATAGGGCCTCTCTGAACCAGACACAAGATAACCTGAGCAGAAACCTTCACATCCTGCAGAAGCGCTGGGGTGGGGGAAGCAGCACCACTCTGGGGCCCTGCTGTGGGCTGGGAAGTACTTACCTATAGCCATCCAGACACTGAATCGGATCCATGTTTGTGCATTCAGCTGAACCATGAGGTAGATGTTCACCAGGATGCTGAATGTGGGCAGAAATGGCAGCAGAGGAACCTGTGGACAGACAGGCAGACACCGGTCCCACACCAGGAAGGCTCTGAGGCTTTCATGGAGGCCACCTCTTCGCCCCGCAGTGACCCAATAGCACTCTGGCCCCGAGCACCCATGGTCCCCTGGGTCCTCAGAGCTCTAGCTCTGTCCCCTGTCGCTGCTGCTCCCAGGCCTCAAACCAACAGAGGCAGAATTCCTGCTCCCAGGAACCAACCATGTGCATCCAGGGCCTCCTGGGAAGAGTTGAGCCCAGCTGAAATGAGTTTGCCCAGGACCCTAGAGGTGCCCATTAATCAGAGCTGCCTCAACCTCGCTCTCTACATGTAACTCGCATGCTCCTGCGTCTGAATGGTCCAAGGAGATCTGGAGACACATGAAGCTAATACAGAGAAAGGCCAGGAAAATATAAAGAAACATCCAGCAATAAGCTGCAGCCACATTAAAAGGATATTTGAGGCAACTGAATTTCATAAGCACTCTGAGATTGAGAAGAGGCCACACACAGCAAATGATTGTCACTGTCATCGTCCAGTTAAAAGGGAAAAATGCTCCAAATCAGTAATAAGAAAAGAAATGCAAATCAGAGCAACTCTGAGGTTTCAGCTCACACCCCACAAATTGGCAAAAGTGACCCAAAAGGACAAGTCAATGTTGGAAGGGCTGTGGAAAGATAAGCGCATGAATACACTGCTGGTGGAGCTGTGAAATGACACAACCATTTGGAAACCGACATGGAATTATGCAACTGAAGGGACTAAAGTGTCCCCACCCTTTGAAACAGAGACTCTGTCCTTGGGCTCAGACTCCAAGGAAGCTATTGATTAAGAAGAAATCTCTGAGATGCACCAAAATATTTATAGCAGCACTTTTTGTGATAGCTAAGAATTGGAAATAAAGTAGATGCAGATCAATCGGGGAATGGCTTAAACACACGATGAACATAATGTAATATTAATGGTGCTATAAGGAATGCTGTGTGATAAATACAGAGAAGCGTGGAAAGATCTGTATGAACTGATACAGAGTGAAGTCAACAGAGCTAAGATAATATGTAAGATAACTAAACATAAATGCAAAGAACAGACCAGAAAATCAAAAGTGAATGTAACAAAGTCATAAAACCAAGCATGACTTGAGTGAAAAGGTCTGAGAAGACAGCCCCAACCCCCCCACCCAGTTCACAGGGGTGGGAAGTCCACAAGTGTTACACATGGCACAGGTTTGGGATCATTTTCCATGTATTGACTGGTTGTGCTGATTTTTTCCCTCTTTTTTTTTTTTGGTCTTTAAAAAATACTATTTGTTATGTGGGTGGAATGGCTCTCTGGGAAGTGGAAGGATAATGAGAACAACTCTGATGAGTTTTCCTAAAACAAAAATCATCAGCAAAAACCACTTTTTAAAAAAAACGGATGCCTCCTGGCTGTGTGAGCCTAGACAGAGTCACTTAGACTCTCGCTGCTCTAAGCAAATGCATTGCAGAAAAGGGGCTGACCTGCATTGGTAGAGGGCACTTCCTCCTCTGGGAGTTCCCTCTTTCAGTGAGGTCACAGGTCCAGATTCGTGAGAATGGAAATGAGACCAGAAACAGCTCACGGCAAAAGCTTGATTAAGCTCCCTAGAGGCTGTCTCAGTGCCTGGCAGTGGTAGGCACGAACTTGACTTGTTCTGATAGTGATAGAAAGAGTATAGCATGGAGCAGCAGTGCCCCGGGCACAGGCAGCATGTGCCTGGAGAAGGGAGTGGCCGGGCACCTATCAAGACCTCAGAGGGACAGCTAGCTGGGGCAGGCACCGGCCGGGCATCTACCAGCAGCCAAATAACAGAGGTAGATGGGTCCACAGCACGGTGGCCAGATCCTCGAGAGGGGATTCAGAGAAGGTCTACTGTAGCCAAAGACTTCCTAGATAGGGGGGAAGCAGATAAATTATGATCTCCCATGGGAGGAATACAGACCAGAGCCACTGAAGTAACAGGAAATCACTACATTCGGAATACCAAAGCCCCTTCTAAAGAAGCCAGCTGAACAGAGAAGGTCTGTGCCCCAGAAGTAGGTGGACAGATCCTTCTATAGGCCTGTCTGGGGCAGGGCTCCTCTCCACCAACCTGTGTTCATGGATTTAGAGCTGGTAAGACATCAGAGGTTTCATTCCTCCGTTTTACAGATGAGGAGAGTGAGGTCTGGAGGACTGAAGCGATCTGCCCAAGGTCATAGACGTGGCAGTCAGGACTGGAACCCAAAGTCCTTTCTGCTGTGCATCAGTGAAATGACCCTGGAGGGCTGCTCTCGGAAATACCTGGGAAGACCTACATGAACTGATGCAAAGTGAAATGAGCAGAACCAGGAGAACGTTGCATACAGTTACAGCAATCTTGTATGTTGATCAACTGTGAATAACTTAGCTAATCTCAGCATCACAATGATCCAAGACAATTCTGAAGGATTTATGATGAAAGGGTTCTCCATCTCCAGAGAAAGAACTGATGGAGACTGCATGCAGACTGAAGATAATTTTCCTTTACTTTATTGGGCTCATTTTTTTTTTTGGCTGTGTTTTCTTCAACTTACAGGGAAATGTGTTTTGCATAACTACATGTGTATAACCTATGTCAAATTGTTTGCCTTCTCAATGAGGAGAGAAAGAGAGGGAGGGAGAGAATTTGGAAATCAAAATTTGAAAAAAGAATATTAAAATTGTTTTTTTACATGTAATTGGGAAAAAATAAAGTATTAAATTTTAAAAAAAGAAATGGGTCTTCTAAATGAGTTTTCTAACTCTCTGGGAATTGTCTTGTGGGTGCTTCCCACGTTCCAAAGAGTATTTCACAAAGGAGTTATTTAATAGCAAATTATGACATTGGATTTCTAGCTGGCCCCAATTTTTGGGACAGGAATAAGATTACATCTAAAAAGCAAAGACAAAGAATAAAAATGAGACCAGAACAAGATTAACCATTCATAAAAAGAAAAGAATGAGACAAAGAAGTTGCTGTTTGGTTATATACTCCTAGAGAGCAGGGACCATGCCTTTCTTAATTCTAGAGTCTTTCTTGGGTTGATTATTTCCTATTTATCCCATGTGTGGCTTGTCTGTAGACATATGCTTCATCTTGTCTGCACCATTAGATTATGGGATCCTGAAGGGCAGGGGCTGTTTTTTGCCTTTCTTAGTGCCTGGCACATAGTACGTATTTTAATAGAGGGCTCCAAGACATTGGCTCAATTCAGTTCAATTCAGTACTCAGCAAGCATTTGTTAAAGAGCGTGCTTCTGTGAGGCACCAAACCAGGGATACAGAATTATTGATGAAAAACAGCCCCTGCCCTCAACGGTTTAAATTCTCCTTGAAGTACAAACAAGGAATCAGAAAGTTAATGCTGGCTCATTTGAAGCCAAGATCAGTCAGGCAGAAGCTGGGAGTGGGAGCACAGGAATCAGGAGAGGTGCACCAGATCTAGACCTAGACCTCCTCCATGGCTGGCCACTCTTGGCTTCTCAACTGTTCATAAGTTGTGGGTCATTTAACTTTCTCCAACTCCTCAAGGACATTCCATCAGGGTGGGGGCTCTGAGCACTTACCATAAAGACCACTTTCTGCTCATTCTGAGGCTGCCTCCAAATGATGAGGATGATGCCAACAATAAGGAAGATGATCACAGAGAGAAGGCCAAGGCACCATGGCTCCATATTGGTAACGGCATTCACGCTATGGGTCATCAGGATGCTGAGGCCAAGAATCAGGAATGCTTCACCCCAGACCCAGGGAGAAAGGAAGCATTTCAGACCAAATTCTCAGTAAAAGGGATCCTCTTTCATGGAAAGAGTTAGTTTTCCAGTCCAACCCCCTAGTCACTGTCTGGAGAGGCAGTAAAGCACTCATGCTGGACGGGAAGCCAGTCTCAAAGTCAGGAAGATCTGTGCCCTACCTCTGACCCACAGGGTCCTAGATTTAGAGTGGGAAGGGACCTTGGAGGTTGTCACATCCAATGCCCTCATTTGACTTTATTTATTTATTTACTCATTTATTTATTCATCTGTCTATCTATCTATCTATCTATCTATCTATCTATCTATCTATCTATTTATGGTGAGGCAATTGGGGTTAAGTGACTTGCCCAGAGTCACACAGCTAGTAGGTGTTATGTTTCTGAGGCCGGATTTGAACTCACGTCCTTCTGAGCAATGCCCTCATTTTAAAGAGAAACCCAGAGGTGAAATGGCTTGGCTCAAGACCACTTAGGTATTAAGCATTTGAGCCAGAATTCCCATCCAGAACTTCTGGCTACAAGTCCAGTGTGCTAATGCCCTGGGCAAGATTTAAGACTCCAAATGGCAGAGAGAGACCAGTGCATTGGCGGAATTAAGTATGTAGATAAAAATCACTAGATTTTTTTTTCATTAAAAAAAGGGAAAAGAAGGCACATTTCACTGATAGAATATGGAGCTTCCCAGCTGACTTTTAATTTGGATTCTCCTGAGATGTAGGTGGGTAACTTCCCAAATGCAGTCCTGCCTGCTCTGCTGCTTTCCCCGATTCAATTCTGGGCTCAGCCCCCTTGCTGTCCAAGTGATATGCCATGGTTTGGGAAATATTCTAGTCAAAAAAAAAGAGCTTTCCAAGAGTTGCTTTTCATCCACCTTGTTTTCCCCCTGTGGATGGTCAGACTGGTCTCTTCCCAGTACTGTAGCTTTTGCTGAGGAGGATTTGTGCTCTGGAGCTCAAAGGAATGAGTAGTATATTTGTCCTCTGAGAAAAAGGGTATTTGGAAAACTGCACTATAGAATTCTTTGGTCTGGAATTCACACAGAACATGAGGTTGTGGGAGTTCAGGTTTAAGGGATCTTAGAGATCAGTCATCTAATCCCAGCCTCTCATTTTATAGCTGAAGAAACAGGGGACCAGAGAATGGAAGTCACTTGGTCAACATCACCCTGGTTACACTCAATCCTCTGATTCCCAATAAGTCCAGTCCTCTCTCACTAATACTGCCAATGCACTAAGATGGGAGGCTGGGCTGATGTGTGTTGTGACTCCTGTTCTACCCCCCACCAAAGACCTCTCCTGGGACCCCAAATCTGCTCTGCTTGACATTCCAGGCTACACATGCCTCTATATCCAAGGGTGCCATGATAACCCCTAGTGGACCCGAACTGTTCTGTGCCTTAACTACTTGGTCTACTTGTGTTGGGGCAGAGGTGGCTACACAGGACCCGGGGGGACAAGTTCTAGCATTTGCCATCTAGCCATCGGTGACTCTAAGGGGAGATGAGACGAGGGCTTGGGAGGGAGATTCTGGGGCAGGGAGTGCTTTCATGGGTAGGACCGTTACTGGGTAAGACCACTGACAGCATTGTCCAAAGGGGCTTTCCTTCCACTGCTTGGCTCCATCCTCTAGAGGCAGGGGCCAGCCCCACTCCCTCAAAGGCACTCTGTGCCAGTCACCCAAGATGGCCAGTCATGGTGGCATGTGGGTCTTGTTAACTCAAAGAGGACTCACCCAGCAGTCCCACCAAAAAGCTGACGAGAGACGCCGACCACTGGGTGGGCAACCTCGAGGGCTTGATGAGGTCCTGCTTGCTGTTACCAGACCCTGGCAGCAGGTCTGCGGCTGGGCCCGAGGTCAAGGCTTCTTTCTCCGAGTAACATTTTGTCTTCTGTTGAGTGGAGCTGGGCTGGTACCTGCTCCCAAGGACAGACTGTATTGTTACCCTGGCATGAATCCTCTATCACATAGCACCTCTATGACCTTGGACAAGGCCCTGCAGCCCGATCCCTTCTGGGATTGTAGGGCTGTGATAGGATCCTACGTGATGAGGGCTTTCCGGGTGGCAGTAACTCAAGACCAAGGCCTGGCGACATGCCTCACGTCACACACCACCATGTGTCGGGGCCAAGAGTCAAACCCAGGTCTTCCTACCTCCAGACCCAACTATTTTTGCCCTAAACTCCAAGGTCTCCTGAAGTGCCCAACATGGGTCTTGAACTCATTATGTCCTGTTACTTCTACCCACTCAGGCTAATCCAGCCTGGTGATTCTGAGCACGAGATCTCTGCATGGAACCAAGCCTCCCACACGGACGACGAGGGGGAGGAAGAAACGGGGTGAGGCTGGGGAATGAGGAGCCCACCTGAGGATTAGGACACAGGCAGCCACAAGCGAATAGGCCAGGAGGGTCCCGATAGACATCATATCCACCAGAGCCTTCAAGTCAAAGAGGAAGGCCATGACCGCTGTCCAGAGAGAAACAGAGAGATAAACACAAGAATTCAAAGCCCCACGACTTGTCACTAAAGGTTGTTCACTAAAAGACAGCTGACTACAAGGGGTGCATGCCTCTGTGTGTGTGTGTATGTAACTGGGCAAACCAAAGCATCATAGGATTCTAGAGCTGGAAGGAACCGCAGAAATTACCTAGACCAACCTAATCATTCTACAGAAGGGGAAACTGAGGGCAGATGAATAAGTACTTTTGACCAAAGATGGATGGATGACCTAAGCCCTCATCTCACTTACGAGAAGGGATGGGAGGCCCCAGGTCACATAAAGGACTCCAAATCTAGAGTGGAAAGTCTACTCAGAGACCTTGAAATCAATCCTCCTTCACTGTAGAGATACCCTGGCTCCTGGAGATGAGGTGATTTGCCCAGGGTCACACAGCTAGTAAGTGTTGTGTCTGAGGCCAGATTTGAACTCAGGTCCTCCTGACTCCAGGGCTGGTGCTCTATCCACTGTGCCACCTCGCCGCCCCCTATAAAACCTCTTTTTGAGTCAATAGGCATCCAGGACCTCGGGCTGGAAGGCCCTGGGAGGTCATCTGGTCTGACCCCCCTCATTTTACAGAGGGGGAAACTGAGGCTGCCTGTACAGCAGAACTGACTTGTCTAGGGTCACCCAGGGGATCCAGGTCTAGAAGCAGAAGGGCCTTTGGAGACCATCTCATCCAGCCTGTCATTTCACAGACCTAGAAACTGAGGCCCAAGAGGTTAAAAGGAGCAGAGACAGAATGCTCCACACAGCTAGTATGTGTTATGTGTCTGAGGCCAGATTTGAACTCAGGTCCTCCTGAATCCAGGGCTGGTGCTCTATCCACTGCACAATCTAGCTGCCCCTTGGCAGGTTTTTAACAGTCAAAAGTGGATGTTTACAAACCCAGAAACAAATTCAGAACTCAATGGGATTTTGCGTTTAGAATTGGGTTGTAAGGACAATCAGCCCATCCGTGCAGGTGAGAGCTTTGTTGCCCATGAATTTCACGAGATCGCCAGGTCTGGGTCTTTCATCTTTTCTTGGCCTGCTCTGGGTGAGCCGTGTGAAGGTCCTGATCCTTTCTTCCCTACCTGTTTTAGGGCACAGAGATCGACCCTTCATTAGACAGGTGATTGGTAGGGCCTGGCTCCTCAAACTCTGCAAAGACCATCCCAAGAAAGGGACCCTCGAAAAGAAGGATCAAACTCTCTGCTCGCAGCTGGGCAACTTAGCCCCTAAATCCTTGGCTCGAAATCCTTCCCAGGCAAGTCTCCACACCCACTGCCCCTTGCAAAAGGCTGCACGTCTTTTTCCTTGGCCTGCCATGGAAGGGTTACTTGGAGGGGAGGACCCGATGCAGGCAATGGAGAGACTTGGAGAAAGAGGCTTGGGCCGGGAGGGCTCCACACTTCACCTCCACCTGATTTGCAAACAATTTGGTAACAAAGCATACTCTAGCAAATGGGATGGTTGCATAAGGGTGGTCTTTCTTTAGTTAAGAAAAAAAAACCAACCTTTTCAGTGGGCACAGAGAAAGAGGGGTGGCCTGGGGAGACAGTATCTTGTTAATGTGTTTTCCAAACCTGCGGGTGGGTGCATGCACACACACATTTTCTGACAGAGTGCCAAATCTAGCTCTGCCCTGGGTGGCTCAGGATGTAAGCCATTTCCTTGCTAAGCTCTGGAATGCTAAAGTCAATCTCAGTTTCTTGCCCGATAGGAACACTCACACGGTGTGACTCAAACTGGATCATGGCAAGAGGGAGCCTGAGGTTTCAAGTCCAGCCCTTCATTTCACAAAGGGGGTAACTGAGGGCTTAATGGAGGGAACAGGCTTGACTGTGGCCACAGAGATAGACGTTGAGCATTCTGTCTCTGCTCCTTTTGACCTCTTGGGCCCAGTTTCTTGGTCTGTGAAATGCACTGCACCCAAAACAAAGTGATATTGGGATCCTGAAACTGGTCCACAACTCCTCGGGAAAGTCTTCACCAGGCACATCTGTTTCTAGGAGACAATCTATTTTCCTTCTGCCTCCAGGTGTGGCAAACACTCTCTGCTCTTTTCTGTATTTATATTCATGCCAAGGCTCCAAGGTTGGAATTTCAGAGGAGGTCAAAGCATCTCCTGAGGTATGGATCTGCCCGTTGTTGAGAATGTACAACATCACTTTTGTAGAAAGGCAGAAGTCCTTGTGAGTTGTTTTTAGGAAGCCAGAACTAACTTTTAACATTTTTAACTAGTCCAGCAAGCTGCAGGGTTGTGTTTTGTTTTGTTAAAAAGGTTACCCAAGGTGGGCAGATTTTACTTTCAAACAAAAGGCCGTTTTAGCAAGGTTACATTTAGATTAACTTGGAGAGGCTGCTGGTGATAAGGTGTGTGCTACCTGGGGTCCGGATAGGCTTGAGTTCAGTCGCCACCTCTGACCCTTCTCAGCTGAGGGGCCCTGGGCACCCCTGAGCGGAGCTCTCTGAACCCTTTAAATGGCCCTGGAGATGCCGGTGGTAGTGGGTCGCTGGTGGCAGTGGGTCACCAGAGGCCTTGTCCCTGCTGTGCTCACAGACCGCCGGGTCTATTCACCAGTGTGTGCTGGGCACTAATGCCCACATGACCTTTCTGGACTCCCCGTCCATCTCCTGTAAAGCGAAGGCTTTGAGCGACCTCCTCAGAGGTCCCTACTGGGCTCGGGAGCGAGAACCCTAGGTTCACTCGGATTGCCTGAGCCTCAGTTTCCTTCTCTGCAAGATGAGACCTAATGGCCTCTAAGGTCCCTCCCAGCTCTAGGATCCTATAACCAAATTTATTATGGGAAAAATAAACGTCTCTAGCAGACCCTGTCTGTAATAACAAGAAGTAGTAGGAGGCGTGTGCTCTCAGAGAGGCCCGATGGATAGCACCAAAGGTCCCCTCCATCTCCCAGGCCTACAACCCTGCAGTTGTCCACAGGTGTCTTCTCTGTGGGTTGGGGTGGGATGTATCTGCCGAAGTATGCAGACAATGAGTGAATGGCTGCGGGGAGGCTGGCTCGAGGGAGGGACATGAGTGTTCCTTTATATGCACGGTCTCTGGCAGGCTGACCCCCTGCTAACACAGAGACGTGGCAGAAGGCCCAGGAGCCGACTCACTGTTGCCACGAAGCTCCCTCCTGCCCATCTTAGCACCCTGGGGATGCACACACTCTTTGTTGGCCCCTCCCTGCGGTCCGGACCTCCCTTAGGACCACCGTTCGAGGACGGTTGCTGGATCAGCCTGGAGAGGCCCACCAGCTCAGTGGAGTCAGTGTTTCTCAGATAGCTCTAACAGTCTGCTTGGAGGCAGGAGGTCTGCAGATGGTGGAACGGGAGGGATGATTTTCCCATGGTAGGAGCCTCCATGGCATGCGTTCCCAGGGAAGCTCACCAAAGCAATGGGAAGGAAGGGTCAAGTCATATGGGGTTTCAGTTCCTCTGACCCTAACCTGGCATGTTTCCATGGAAACAAGAACCCGACTGGGCAGGGTGGGGGGTGTTAGAGGCCTAGGCTGGGTTACTTTCACAACATCATTTCAAAACCAATGACAAAACCATGAACCATTTCCTGCTTAATTTTTAGTCAAATAATTAGCCTTGAATTAGATTGTAGCAAATCAATTGGGCGAGTAATTCCAGGGGATCAATTTCTCCAGATCGTTTTCTGGCTACTACTTGATATCCAGAAAGACTCACCGTTTCGGTCACATTGTTTTTTAAGAGACTGAAAGGGTTGAAAAAAAATTCAAAAGCTCAAACCCTGCTCGCTAAGTTTAAGGGGCAAGTCATTTATGGATGCCAAGTACGCTGCCCCCAGGATTTCCCACGGCAGAGGATCTCAGCTGCCCATGCCCATCTCATTCATTCGTCCACAATGCTCTTCCCCTGCATGCACAGCGGGCGTGCGCCCTGGCAGGAAGGTCCATGCATCGAGGCGCTTGCGGTGAATGCTGAGGAAACCTGGATCTGTGAAGCTTACCGGAGATGAGCCCCGTGGTCAAGGTGGCCGCAACAGGCGACTGCCTGCTGCTTAATCGTCCCAGAAATCTAAAGAGTAAGCCATCCCGCGCCATGGCAAAGAGGATTCGGGGCAAAGGAAACATAGAGCCGAGAAGACTAAAACAGAAAAACGCAGAATTCAGGGACAAGTCATTCCATGGCCAAACAGGATGGGCCCACTGGGGCGGGCTGGAGGATGGCGGGAGCACCTGCTCAGACTATCACGACTGCTGAGAAATGCACAACCGTGACTCCTCACCACCTTTCTGGGCAGGAGACACGCAGCCACAGAGACCACATCTGCACGTTTTAGTGTTCCCCCACGGCCTCGGTCAAAGGCTCCCCCTCCACACAAAAGTCAACGGGGTCTCACCTGCCACAGAACCCGATGTCAGAGTAGCATTGAGCGGGCTCTTCGTTTTGGGATGGACTTTAGCTAAGAATTGGAAGAGCAAACCATCTTCTGCCATGGCATAGATTACCCGTGGCATTGGGAACATGGCTCCAAGGAGACTGGGTGGAAAGCAAACATACATGGAAAGCAAGCAAGATCACATCACAGAGGCAGAGTCCACGTGCAGCCTGGCTGCCTCCCCTCAGAGTGGGATTCTACGGCAAGGCAGAGTGGGGACGCATCCGGGGACCAAAGAGGTCGCCAACGGGAGCATGAGCCCGAGATGTTCCAAGTTTGCCGCCCCCACTATCCCTTCTGCCGTCAGGGAGCCAGCTCTGCTGAGCCAATATCTAGCCCACCAACACCACCAACCGAGTCCTTCCAAATACAGCATGTGCCTGCGCTGGCCGGCATCTCACTGGTCGCCCTGCTCTCATCAAAGGTGCAGCAAACTGGTTAAAGTCTAACCAATTGTTTGGGACCTGGGGCAAGCCAGAAAAGAGCATAGAGGCCGTCCAATCCAACCCCCAGATTTTTAAGGTGAGGAAACTGAGGCTTAGAGAATTGATTTGCTAGGTCCCAGTCTAAGAAGATCCTGGATCACACTGGAAGAGACCTCAGAGGCATCCAAGTCCGCCCCCTCATTGAGCAAGGGGAAACTGAGGCAGCCCAGAGCAAAGAAAGGACAAGCCCAAGCTTCACATCTAATGAATGGCACAAGCCAGATTCAAACCCACAACTCTCGACTTTCTCCAGTGTGCTTAATAAGCTAGTCCATAGCTGCTTCTCACTTGTATGTACAGCAAGATCTGGTGGCCAATCCCAGTTGTCACAAACTACTCTGTGTTACCTCGGACAAGGCCTGAAACCTCCACAAGCCTCAGTTTCCCCCTCTGGCAAAATGAAGGACCAGACGGCTTCTGAGGTGCCTTCCAGGTCTAGGCCTATAATCCTACTCGTGACCTTGAGGGAGTCACTAGACCTCTATGGGCCTTCCATAGTGAGCAGAAGCAGGAAAGCCTGTGCCCACCTCTCCCTGGGCAGCTGCTCAGGTCAGTGGTGGTGTTGGAAAATGGAAGGAAGATATTGGCTCAAACCAGCTTTTCCAACCATCTGAACCCTTCATTTATCCCTGTGATCGGTTTTCCCATCTCCCCAAACATGGCGGGTAGCACAATTTAAAGCAGGGCTCCTTAATCCTTTTGATGCCATGGGCCCCCTTTTTCAGGGTATGTTTTACATAGATTGTAAAAGGACCCAATTAGGTAGAAATAGTTATTAAAATGTGAAAGAGAAAAGAAAAGAAAGAACCCCTGATTTAAAGAGATAGAATTTAATTTGATGGTTAAAATTTAATTTAATTTCAGGCTTCAGCAGGTAATCACTTTTATCTTTCAAAAAGTACTTTTAACGATTATGAGGAGATTGGTTCCCACAATTTCAGGCCTTTAGAAAACCAGGCTGAATTTCAAGACGAGCCAGGAGGCCAAGGCCGCTTTGTTCCCCAAAGCACCAAGGTGACCGTGACCTGCGGTCACAACTCAGATTGGACACTGTGCCCAGGCAGGGCTCCCTTTGCTACAGGGCAGATCTGGGGCCTAAGGAGCACTTCTTTCTCTCCGTCTGAGCAGCTTTGGAAGTCTGAGAACAGGACAAAGCCTGGAGAGGAGGGGAATTGGGGGGCAAGGCTGCCCTGGGCTTCCTCCACCTTGCTTGGGCTCCCAGGGCATTGAGGAGCCTTCGGCCTGTCCCCTGCCCTTCACCATCACCTGACATCTGACGGGCTCTCACCCAGCTTCCATCCCATCCTAAAACACTCCTTTCTATGCTCAGGGAAATAAAGCAGACCAAGGCTGCCCTGCGACACTGACACTGACGAACCCACCGTGTGTCAGAATGATGGCAGTGTAGACAGGCTATACCGGCAGATACTTAGATGATCACCAGCAGAGCTTTCAAGTGAGGGCCAGGCTGAAAGCTACAAGAGGGGGCAGGTTCTTCGGTCTGTCACATGACGCTGAAGAGCCAAAGTCTTGGGATTCCCAGATTGCTTCTAGAGCTTCTCCTCCCCCAACCAGCCCAGCAGTTTCCAGGGAGCTGCTCAAGGCTCTCCCCTCCTTCCCAAAGTGGAAGATAATTGGACTCCACCTAAAAACACTTTGCTATGTTCACAAAGTAATTAACCTCCAATTAAATCCAGAGGCCATTGTTATTGGGACAATGAGCTGGGGAGAGAGGTGTGTGTAGAACACCCCTTGGCTGGTCCAGGGTCGCCCAGCGTCTGAATTGGGATTTGAAGCCCGTCTTCCCAGCTCCAAGCCCAGCTTGCCCCTGCCCCCTCCCACTAACTCTCCTGGCTCTCTATCAGAAAAAAGGACATGACTTTTCTTTGGCCAGCAGTCGATTCAGCCCCTGCTCACGCCCGCAACCTGGATCAAAAATCCTTGTCAGTTGACAGGGCAGCTGGGACCCTACCCACTGCAGCACGTCCTGACCTCCCACCCACTGCACTGTGCAGCGTGACTCCACGTTAACACTCAGAGCACAGTGTGGGGCTCAATGCTCCAAGCCCTGTCCAGAGTTTCAGGGTCTGTGGGTGGGGCTGCCCGGACCCCAGCCCTGTGTCAGGTCTCAATGATCCTCTAAGGCTGGAAATCAGGAAGTGGGGACAAGAAATATGCGCCTCCCCTCAGATCCCCTTCCCCGGCCACGATCATCTCCCAAGAGGGTCACAGGAGGCAGGAATGAGGCCTTAGTAGAACCTCTCCCACCTGTTACCCTCTGCTGCCTAAACAGAGGCACACATACTAGTGAGAAAGCTGCCAGGAACAGCCCCCTGGGATGTTCTGATGGGATTGTATGGGTGAGCTGGCTAGAAAGGGCCTTGACCTGCACCTTGAGCACCTCTTGTGAGGGAGAACTCACTACCTGTCAGAGCAGCCTCTTCCATCAAAGGACAGTTCAACATGTGTCCGTGGGAGGCCCCGTGCCGTTGCAGTGTCTTACGTGGCAATGGGGGCGGTCTAGGTCCTGCCACCTGAGCAGCCTGGGAGTCCCTGCCCTCCCCTACAAGCCCACGGGGCTGTGGACTCTGTGCACCCCGAGTCCCAACTTCTGGGCCCCCAAAGCACGTACCTGGTGGACAGAGCACAGAGGGAGCCCACGGCCACCACATACTTGGCAGGGCTCCAGCCCACGTATTCGAAGGCTACGGGGAGGGGGCTGGTCTCATCCAGGAGGTAATAGGGCATCATGAGGGTCAAGGCCGCAGACACGCCGAAGTAGGCCATGAAGCACACGAGCAGGGAAGTGACAATGCCGATGGGAATGGCCCGCTGAGGATTCTTGACCTCTTCCCCTGAGGAAATGGGGAGAAAAGGCAGGGAGGCTTGGGGGGGAGCAGACTCACCTGCCCAGCTCTGGCTCGGCCCGGCCCCCACAGGGGCTGGCAGGGTTGATGGCCCACCCCAGAGGCCTCAGACCGTGTGTGCACTGAGGGCCAAGCCCGGGCCTCTGCCCTCCCCTCTGGGCGGCCGGCTCCTCCAGCATTCCCGTGTGAGCGGCAGGGGGACTTCTTACCCGTTGTGGCGATGCAGTCGAAGCCCACAAAGGCGTAGAAACACGTGGCTGCTCCGGCCAGCGTCCCCTTAAAGCCGAAGGGCATGAAGCCCCCAGACCCGTGTGGGCTCGTCTCATTCTTAGACGGATCCCTGGAGGTGGGGAAGGCACAGACAGGACCGTTTGCTCCTGCTGCTCGGGCCACGAGAAGCGAGGGCAGCCGGAGGCCCGTGTGGGCCTCAGAGGGGCTGAGCCAGACGGCCCCAAGTGACGGCCTTTCTGTGCCCCAGCGGCTCGTCCAGGGCCACACAGCTAGTGTCAGTATCAGGATCTGAACCCAGCTCTTCCTGACCCCAACTCTGCTGCTCAGCCCACCATACTAGGGTGCTTCTTACCAATCTGCGATTCTTTTCTTTATGTCTTTCCTAGTATTTACCTCTGTCACATACGTTTAATTATCACTCCCCCTCCACGTATTCTGTTATTGGCCCAGTGGCTAGAGCACTGGGTCCAGGGTCAGGAAGACCAGTCTCAGACACCTCCTAGTTGTGTGGCCCTGGATAAGTCCCTTAACCTCAGACTGCCTGACAAAATGGATCCGCCGGAGAAGGAGTTGGCAAACCCCTCCAGGATCTTTGCCAAGCAAACCCCAAATGGAACCACGAAGGGTCATCAGGACCAAACAATGACTCCACCTAGCCCCTGCTCTGGTCCACGTTGACCACCCCAGACCTGGAACACTTCCCACATTTCCTGGCCTCTGCTAGTCACTCTCACTGATGCCTAAAATGGCTTCCTTTCTTTTGGCCCATTGAATTCCTCCTCAGCCTTTAAGGCCCAACTCAGATGCCACCCCCTCCAAGAAGTCCCCCATGATTCCCCAGGGGGTGACTTTTCCCCATTTTCTTTCCCCTAAGTTGCTGGGGAGGGAGGGGAGAGAGTTCATCTGCAATCTGGTCCTATTTAAAACCAGGGCAGCCCGCCTTCCCCCAGAATTGTTGCCATCACTGATGGGGTCCCCCCGGGAAGCCTGAGTCCCAGCTAGGGTTCGGCTAGAGGTGGGAACAGCCCAGATTGAGAGTGGGGAGGGGTCACAAAATAGAGCAGGGATGCTGGGCTGGAAGGGACCCTGGAGGGTTATCTGAGCCAACCCCCTCACTTTGCCCACAGGGAAACAGAGGCAGCTGGGAGGGGTGGGGGGTGGGAGAGCAGTCAGCTTTCTTCCCAACCCAGCAAATGCCTCCCCCATGCTTCCTGACCTCGGTGGTGGCTGAATGTGCATACAAGTCCATCTGGGGGGTATGGAGGGGGCAGAAAAGTAGCCAAGGACAGTTAGGAAGGACGCAAAGAAACTCTCTGAGAAGCATAAGGTCAGCCATGGGATGTCAGGGGTCATGGAGTCCCAATGCTTTCCTTTTACAGAGAGGGAAACTGAGGCCACAGAGGGAGTGACCTGGCTAAGATCACACGGGCACTGATGGTCAGAGGTGGGACGTGTAGGTCCTGCCCCTCCTCAGCCGAGCTCGGTCCCTCCAAGCCCCTGGAGAAGGCCCACGGGAGCTGACCCGGGGCAGGCTCTTGCCCAGCAAAGTCGAGCAGAGCCGAGGGTCCACTTACTGGGTGATGGCAGAGATGTTTTTGAGGAAGCCCTCACTGATCCTCCAGTTTGCGATGTGGCCTTTCACAAACCCCGAAATCATCACGAAGATCAGCACCAGGATGTTGATTGCTGTGAAGATTTTATTCACCCAGGCTGACTCTTTGACTCCAAATGACAAGAGGCCTGTGGAAGGACACAGGGCACATAGGAAGGGGAGGGCAGTGGCGGCCTGGCGGCTGGGGTCCTGGGGGTGCGCGGGGTGAGCTGGTCGATGCTTCTTCTTACTGAACTGCTCTGGGGAAAGGGACGTGCCCAGGGAGGCAGCCCAGTGCCCGTGCACCGATGACAGGCTGGGGGCCGGCCTCAGAATGGCAGGTCTTCCTAGGCAGAGCTGGAAAGGAAGGGCCTCAGGGCCCATCTAGTCTGCAGGAGGTGACAGAGAGCCCCCCAAGGCAGGGACATGCCCACGGTCACACGAGGAAAGCAGGGGAGACGCTTCTTGGGCCTTCGGACCCCAGAGCTCCTTCCACAGCACCATGGAGACTCTGTTCCATCCACTGAATCACCCAGCTACGTGGTGAGAGGATCTCCCTGGCAACCTTAGAAAAGACGCATCCACGTGCAATGGAACGCAGAGGACAGTGCGAGCAAAAGGCGAGACTTTTATCTGTCCCCACCTGGGGTCCTGGTCACAGGGGCCTTCCACCCCTGGGGAGCAGCAAGGAAAAACAGGGAAGGGCAAAAACACGCCCGTCAGAGCAGGCCTGGGGCGTGGCCCCAGAGAGCCGACAAAACTATGATTCAATGTGCAGTCACATGGAGTTCTCCAAAGGACTGAGCTGTAACTTTCTATGGCTCCCTATTACCTCTGGGATGGGATAGAAAGCCCTCTGGTGTTAGCTTTCCCTCCAACCTGCCTTTTTGTGAGCAACCCCCCTTCCCCCAATCTATGGCACACCCAACAGGCCTCCCACAGGGCCAGCCAGCTCCGCTTCTGTGCCTCTGAAGCGGCCGCGCCCTCGTTCCCTCCTCACTCCTCTCTTGGCATTCCTGGTTTCCTCGGGGCCGCCTTCAACACACAGCCCTTGCTGGCCCCATCGGCTAGAGGCCCCTGTGCAGAGCTCATTAGGTCCACACGGTCTCCACCGTCCAGGCAGGGCTCTCCCTTCTTCCTCGGTGTCCCCCCGCCGGCACACAGAGGGTGGCTGACTCAGGGCGCAAGGAATCGGCCGACGACCCGACACTCACCCGACAGGAGGAGGATGAGGCACACGGCGAAGAAGTCGGGGTACTCGGCGAGCCCTGGGGAATACATGTTGAGGTGGTTCCGGAAGAACCTGCTAATCTCCTTGTTGAGCAGCTCATCAAAGGTGCCACTCCACGCCCGGGCCACGCTGGAGGTTCCTTCACAAAAACAGTGGGGAGACCAGGGACAGAATGAGCACCAGGAATCGTTCTTGGGCAGAAGCAGATGGGCCTTCCCCCAGTGGACCACGGCCATGGGCCACCCACATCCTGGAAGGAAGGGCATGTGGCAAACGTGGCAAAGGTGGCACCTAGGCACTGGGCAAAACCAGCCACTTCCAGGGTGCTGTGGGGCTCTCTTTCCTTCCAGGGTCCCTGTTCCAGATCCCTATGCGGATAGGAAGTCCCCGGGGCCCCAGGCTCAGCACAACCTTTGATACTAAATGAGGCCCAGGGTGCTTGGGTTTGCCCACTGCCCAAACCTACCTATGATGTAAGACAAGAGGAGATTCCAGCCCGTGATGAAGGCCCACAGCTCGCCCACGGTGACGTAAGTGTACAAGTATGCAGAGCCCGTCTTGGGGACCCGGGCCCCAAATTCCGCGTAGCACAGGCCAGCCATGACGGAGGCCAGGGCCGCGATCAGGAAGGACAGCACGATGCTGGGGCCGGAGCTGGACTTGGCCACCTCCCCCGCAAGGACATAGACCCCCGCCCCGAGGGTGCTCCCCACCCCAAGGGCAATCAGGTCCACAGTGGTCAGGCAGCGGCAGAGTTTGGAATCCTCCAGGCTGTCCAAGGTGACGATTTTCCTCCGGATGAGGCAGCGGGCGAAGGTCAACACGGCTCCACAGGGAATCATCTTGTGTGTAGTGATCTATGGGGAAAACAAAGGCCCGAAGCTGACTTAACATCACTCAGTTGTTCAACAAACACTGGGGAAAGCTTTCTGGGAGAGGAGACGAGCGGGAATGTGGGGGAGAATGGAGGGCAGGTCTAGGGAGCGTGAGGCCGGAAGGACTCAGCCAGTCGGCCGTCAGCGACATCCTTCAGATTTACGTTAATCCCCTCCATCCCACCCAAAGGCAACCAAGGGGGATGTAGCTTCCAGGAACAGGGAGGGCACCATCCCTCACCACTCGACAGTATTACTCTGGCTAAGAGCTCCTGTGAAGCGTGTCCTCTGCGCCAGGCACCATGCGCGGCACTTCACAAATAGTGAGTCACTGGCTCCTCATAACAGTCGGGTCCTGGGAGGTAGGTGCTACTGTTTCCATTTTACATCTGAGGAAACCGAGGCAGGCAGAGGGTCAGTGACTTGCCAGGGTCACTCAACTAGGAAATGCCTGAGGCTGAATCTGAACTCAAGTCTTCTGACTCCAGGGCCCTATCCACCGTGCCACGCGGCTGCTTCTACACTAAACGCCCAATGTAGGAAGGCCACATTTAGCAAGGAGCCTGGGCTGCTAGCTTGAGCTGGCAGTGACACCCAGTGGTTCAGGGAGAGAGTACGCGCTGCCTAGTTATTCCAGGCCACACCCCTGGGAGGCCCGTGGGCTTGGATGGCCACTTCCCTGCCTGGAGGGGCAGCTATTACTACTGAAGAAATCACTTCCCAGCCGGCTCCTTCTGGAAAAACAAGCAGAGTGTGAGCTCAGAAATGCCCAGTCCTCGCCCCGGGCACTGATGTGCGTCACCGTGGACAGCAGGAGTCCCTCTCTCCAGCCCAGGCTGTGGCTCGGGAGGGCAGAACAGATAATCTCCTTAACATCACCCCCTTCCAAACACACTCGATGGACGGAGGGACAGATGGATACCGGGCTGGCTGACTGCCGAGGCCGGACGCCGGGCTCTCCCTGCTGGTGAAGGCACAAGGGGACCCTGGTGGAATTTCGTTTGTGGAGACTTCTCCAAAAGGCTTATTAGCTCCTCTTGGAGGGAAAGAATGCTTCGTCTAGCAGAATGCGATGTGGAAAACCAAAAGCAAAAAGGAGCCGTGACCGTTAATGGGGCGTGTCTGTCCGCTGCCGCGGGCACGCCCTGGCACTAGGAGCTACAGCCATTCCGACTGCCCTCTTAGGCAATGAGGACAGTGAAGCCTTCCACTTCTATCCCACAGAGCTCTCCCAGCCCCATCCCCCTCTCCTCATTCTTAGCTGGTGATGCCCTCCTAACAGGCCGGGATAGGAAGGAAGCTGGGGCCACCGAGGTCCTGTGGGGTGGGAAGGGAGGGCTGGAGGCAGGAGCCCCAAGCACCGCACCAACCGATCCCCCACCTCGAAATGATCTGTAGCCAACCAAGGGGAGGCAAGAGGCGGGGAAGGCCTGTGGCCAGTGCTTCCAGGTTTGCCCATGACACAAGAGCATGACAAAGAATCACGGGAGGCCGGGAGAGAAAATGCCTGTGTTGGAAGTGTGGGACCGAGTTGCCGACTGGTACATTCACCCACCACCTACCCACCTCCAAGGCCTTGTGACCCTCCACCAGCCCTGCACCACAGTCCCCAGGATGGACTGCCTCCTTCCTCTCATTTGGGCCAGGACACCATCATAGTTAGTTTAACCAGCCCTTTGCACCACTGACATGGTCTCCATGCATGTTCTCACTACGTCCTAAGGTCAATGGAGAGGACCACCGCTGTGCCTTCTCCCTGCACCACACATGCTGCTCCCTGGCCTCTGCTTCCCCCTCCTCCCAACGGTCACACGTAGGGAAGGTATGGGCCAGAGTCCCTAATGGGACGTGTGTGCAGTAAGTGGGAAAAGGTGTTACAGAGATCACCCCGGTCCCAGTGAGAACCAGGCCAAAGCTAGATTCCAAGGTGAGCTGAGCTGCCTCCTCCTGGTGACCTGGGTCCCGCTCTGTCTTCTCCCTGGGTGTCAGCCTTCCCAGTAGCTGCCTCAGGCATCCCAGAGCCTCCCCATCACGTTGCAATGTCCCAGACCCTCTCTGGGCCTGCTGGCCTCTCCATAGGGCAAAAAACAACCACTCGGGCCACTAATCTAAAATGAACAAGGGATTTCAAAGATCAGGGTAGTTGCCAAAGGAGACTGACTGTGCGGGCGACCGTCAAGGAGACTCAAAATGAGACTGCATCTCTCCAAGTGGGCCCCGACCCCGGGGACACAGCCACCAACACTTTACAAAACCAGAGGGTTTGAAGCAGGAGAAAGAACGTCGGATCTGATATCAGAGGCCATGTGTCCACAGCTCAGCTCAGCCTCTTCCCATCCATGAAACCTTGGGGAAGCTGCAGACACTCAGACCGAGAGACTAAGTGACTTTTCCAAGATGACCTGGGTGGGAAGGGGCCCAATTCTGTCTCTTCTGTCCTCAGTTTCTTCATGTGTGAAACGAAAAGGCTGGACACCGTGGCCTCGAGGGTCCCATTCTGTTCTGCATCTATGGCCCTATCACCTAGGTAGCCCAGCTCAAACCCCTCATTGTACAGTGATGGAAACTGAGGCCCAGAGAGGGAGGTCAGTAGCAGACCCAGAGCTGACTCCAAATCCATGAGGGCTGGAGCCATGGCTTCTCCAAGCTAGCACCAGGAGATCTAACCCCACTGGCCCAGAGGTCTGTTGGAACAGAAAGTACAAAGCTTGTCTCTCCATTCCCCCACCCCCAGGATGGAGGGTTTGATCCCCTCCCTTATCCCTGTCCTGTCCTCTCCCAGCCTAGGCTGAAATTTCAAACTGCCCCATAGCTGTCCTGCCAAGGACACCTTTTGGAGGGAAAGGCACTTGGGAACAGCTGGACAAAGTGGGAGTGGGGTGGAATTTCAGACTGAACCCACAACTCTAAGCCTCCTCGAGGTCCCAAGCTCCCAGCTGACTTCCTCACACTTTCCACGCTGCTTCTCAATTGTAACCCTCTGGTCCCAGACAGATTTGGAAAAACCTGGTTCAAGTCTTCAGCAGGTGTTCACCAAGCTTTTGCCAGGAGCTGGTACTGGGCGAGCCTCTGAGGGCTCCACAGAGCCCCATGTGGGAAGGTGGTGCCTGCCTTCAGGGAGGGGGCTATTCTATTGTCCTTTCAATGCCATAGCCTTGGCCTTCTGGTGGCCCAACAGCGATAGGATTTACCTCGCTCGATTTGCCGCATTCTCCTGATGGACGTTCACTGAGCAACAAAACTTAATGAAAAGGGAGGAAGGAAGGACAGCTCCACCTGTCGCAGGTTCCTTGGGTGTCATGAGGGACAGCTATTCGTCCATGGGGCGTTAGCTGGCCTATGGAGGAATGGTAACCTCAAAACATTGAGCAGAATGAGAAAAAGCCCAAGAGGCATCAGACTGCATTGGAAAGTCCAGACTGAACCAGAGAACTCCCATTCAACCCAACAAGCCTTTCCAGTAGAGTTTCAGTTTCCTCATCTCTCAAATGGACACAATGCAGACACGATACTTCATGAACCACCAAGGTGCCCTTGTTATTATTTGCTATCATGGGGAATCTCAGGATATGAGCTGATTAGCGAGGAGGAGGCTCTCATTCAAACTTAGAAATGGTTTTCTCAGACAGAAAATGCCCCTCACACTTCCCCCAGGCTGGGCCCCACCCTGTGCTGACCACCAGCGGGATTCAAAGACAAGTTTCTCACTTTGTTCAGCATACAGCTCTTGCATGGATGCCAATGAAATGTGATAGCTGGACAGCCAAAGACCTCCAGTGGTCTGAGCAAATTGTCTACAGAAAGACCTGGGCAAGAAATGAACAGGATCAGAGAGGGAGGAGGGCTCGTGATGTGCACCAGTGGGAGGAGCGCTTCCACAAGGTTCAGCATGAGACTCTGGCGGGATTGCAAGGATGTGAGTTGTAGGCGTTGGAAGTCACATGGCCAAACCAAGAGATTGTATTCAAGCCCACACAGCAGATCCTGCCTCCCATAACACAGCAGGTTAGCAGACACCAAGGCTCAGTCAATAGCTCACAATTGGTGAATCCGGAAGGCGAACCAAGGATTTTTCTGGTTCTAGGCTAATCCTGGAAATCCCATACTGAGTCATTCTAAACAGCACAGAAATGACTATAATAACATCTTGTTGGTTGTGGGGAGGGGAAGGGAGGAACTGATACCATGGGAGTCAGGTAAGTCCTCAAATATAGGATATCCTTCCCTGACCTAGTAAGCAGAGTACACTGTAGAGAGAACTCTTGGGCTTTCTGGTCACGATGGAGGAGTGAGAAGGCCAAGGAAAAATAAGTTGCTCATAATTTTCAAACACCAAGAGAGAATAATGTCAAAAAGAAAATCAGCTTTGAAAAACCAAAGAAAATAAATCAACCAAAATAGAATTAAAGTTAAAAAGGCTGCCAATACAATTTTTAAAATATATGAAAAACTTAAGGTGTCAAAAGCAACCATGCAAAATATTCCCGTATCTCAGCCAAAGGTCTCAAGACTAGTCAGAAAATATCAAAATCAAATGAAGGAAGAGTTTGTAGAAAAGCTAAAAAAAAGTTGGGATTAACCCCAGAATTAAAAGCTACCTGAAACAGAATGGAAGGAAACAAGCAATAAGAGAGAACCCAATAAAAAAGGAACAACAGAATTAACAACTGACTTCCTATGGTAGAAACCAGCATGACAGCCAAGGTAAGGCACTGGAGGAAAAGGAGATGCTGAAAATCACCCAAGAAAGAAAGAACATAAAGCAGCATTCACAGCAGGAAGCCTTGAGGGGCAGGACCCCCTGGCACAGCCCAGCACAGCATGCTGGCAGCACTCAGCAGGTGCTTATTCAATGTTTAACAAAGAATCAAACTGGAGAAAAATCGAAACAGATATCTCCCAACTTCCCAGAAAATTAAGGACACGGTCTGAATAAGAAATTGTCAAAGAAAACTTTCCAGAACCTGCAAAAACAGGCTGTAACATACAACCAGAATTCTCAGGACTTGAATAACAGAGGACTCAAGATTGAATATACCTAGACACAGCACCTGAATGGAGCAAGAGGGTAGATGAAGGGAGACAAAGTAATCTCCAAGAAAAACTTCCATTTTTGATCAAGAAAAAGTCCAAATAAAAGAAAACATATATACTTATGAGTACAAGGCAGAGAAACTTTGTTTAGAGTAGTTGGTCAAGTTTGGGTTAGATAGTAAAAATAATTTTAAAAAAGGCATTTTATTCCTTTCTATGAGAAGGAAGGAAAGACTAGCCCAATAATTAGATAGTAAAAGAGCTGTATGTTCCAACACCCAAACTGGAAAAATGCATAACACATTTGTCCTAAGTAGAGAGGAGTGTTTTCAAAGAAATAGAAGACATTATTTAGGGATAAAAATAAATGGATTTGACTGTACGTAGACAAAAAAAAATGACACCGTGTGATAAGACACATAACCTCTCTAAAATGAGAGGCAAATCCTCATTTTCCTTAAGGAAAAATTAGTGGTAGCAAATATGTCAGCTAAAGCTAATGAACAGATAACCATCAGATGAACACTTCTCAGTGGTCAAAGAACACAAGTAAGAGAATTTTTGGAGAAAACAAAATTTGTTACTGTGTAAAAAGACACTCAAATTTCCTAATAAGTAGAGAAATGCAAACCAAGATAATCTCAACATAGCACAACAGAAAAAAAGGCAAAATAAATTTGAGAAATTTTAACATTAGCAAGGAAAATGGCTGCTCAATACATTATTGGTGGAACCGCAGACTGATGCAGATAACTTAGAAATCAATCCAACAACATACAATAGAAGTCACAAAACTGATTGTACCTTTTGATCAAGGGATAACCACACAGGACTTTACATTAAAACAATGCAAAATGGAATTATCAGTAGATAAATCTTCACAGCCATACAAAATACTCAGTCATAATGTATTTGTAAAAGAAAAAACAAACAACCACCCACTAACACCTGGAAACAACCTCTATGTCCAATTATTGGAGAATAGCTGAATGTATTATCATGTAGTAAAGTAATGGAATAATGTTGTAAATGCCATTAAAAACACTAAGACAGAAAAATGGGGAGAGACCTGCATGAAGTGACGGAGAGATCAGCAGAAGCAGGACTGCACCCATGAGGACCACAGCAAAGAAGCAGCAGCCCGAGGTAGGGACAGGGATGTAGGGCAAACGCAAACCTGTGTTTGCTTTCTGTTAATTTGTATGGTTGTGCGTAAGTGACCTCACCCCTCCCCAGACCAGTGTGTGGGTGGGCATGGGCTCGTAGGTATGGGCTTGAGGGCGCTTCCTCTCCTCTACCTCTCCGCTCCTCTCCTCTCCTCCTTATCCTCCCCCTTTCTTCTCTCTCTATTCTCTTCTTTCCTCTCCCCTCCCTCTCCTCTCCCCTCCCTCTCCTCTCCCTTTCTTCTGTCTCTCTCCTCTTTTCTCTTCTTTCCTCTCCCCTCCCTTCCTTCTCCTCTCCCCTCCCTTTCTTCTCTCTCTCCTTTCTCTTCTTTCCTCTCTCCTCCCCCCTCTCTTCTTTCCTCTCTTCTCCCTTTCCTGTCCCTCTCTCTCCCCTTTCCGTCTCCTCTCCTTTCCCTCTCCTCCCTCTCTCTCCCAACCATCTCTCAGTTGCTCAATTCTCAGTCTGTTTTTTCTTCCCCTCCCCCTCTCGGCCCCCTCCCTCAGTCCTCATCCCTCTGGAAACCTCTGTAGGATTTGCCATGGCCTCGATCCTCTTTTCTCTTGAGTTTTCATGACAACTACGTTATTGCTTCTCCACCAATTTGTTTGACTGCTCTTTCTTAGTGTCCTTCCTTCTACGTTCACTGCGTGTGGGCGTACTCTGAGGCTCTGTTCTGGGATCCCAACTCTTCTCTCCCAGTAATGTCCCACTGACCCCAGCAGCTTCGGTGAGCTCCATTTTCCTAGGTCTTTCTATCCCTCCTGGTCTCCCTCTCCCGAGCTCCAGTTCCCAATCACCGATGTCTCCTGGACATTTTGAGTGGACATTTCACAAACAAACCAAACCCACCGCTCGTCCAGATGTCACATCCTTCCAGTTACCCAGGCCTTGAGGCAGGTCACTCTCCATTCCTCCCTCGCCTCTCCCTTACCCACACAGCCAAGCAGCAGCTAAAGCTTCTGGATATGGACTCCACAACCCTCTCGAAGGGATCTCCTTGCCACTCTTCTGGGGCAGGCAATATTTGTCACCTTTCTCCAGACTAAGGCAAATAGCCTCCTGGGTGGTTGGTTGCTCCTGCATCCTCCTCATGCTACAGCCAAGAGATTTTCCTCAAGCACAAGTCTGAGTCTCCTCCCCTACTCCATAAACTCCATTAGCTCCCTAGTGCCTCTGGATCAAATAGCACATCCTCTGGAGCTTTGGAGTCTCTTCCAGCCCAGCCCCAGGCTACTTTCCAGTCATATTATATTACTTCTCTCCTTTACATCACACTCAGTCCACCAAACTGTCCATCAGCCATCACGCTCTCTCTCCCTGGGCCTTTGCCCTGACAGTCCGCCAGGCTGCTGTGTTCTTTCCTAGCCCCCACCTCTTAAGACCCGCCCCCCCATTTCTTTAAAGTTCATCTCATAAGCCCCCTCCTCCATAATGCCTCTCCCCACCTCACTCCTTACCCAGGAGCTCCTCCCCTTGGAAATTATTTTGTATTCACTTTGGAGCATATTTTGTACACAATTACATGGGCGTGTTTCCCAAGACAGCATGTAGATTCCTTGAGGGAAGGGACTGTTTCCACTTTGTCTCTGTATGCATGGTGGCTGGCCCATAGAGTCATGGAGTAATTCGAGGTTGTAATCAAGGATGGGTGGGTTAGCAGGCTGGATAACATTGCTTCCCTTCTGCGAGCCTCATTCTCCTTCTCTGTTACCCAATGTGGTTGCCCCAGAGGTCATCCCCTTCTGGCTCTGAGGGTCTGTAGTCACACGCCATGGGCCGCAGGGGAGAACCGCTGCGCTAGCTAGAAGAATGGAGGACTGTTTGTCTCTGCACCCACGCCATGTTCTTTGCAGAGGGAGGCCCTCATCTCCCGCCTGGGCTTAGCTTACCTCTTGGTGGGTCTCAACATTTCCCCCCCTCCCCATCACTTGCCGACTCAAAACAGATAACCAAGCTTGTCGGTGGTCCTGGTATGCCAATAGCACTAAACCCTCCACGTCCCAGGTGCATCCGAGCCCTGTGTCAGCTGGGTCCTATACCGAGGGCTCTGCTCACTGACATCCACGGGTGGATCTCAAATCTCTGAAATCTTTGCACCGAGGGGTGGGACTGCAAGCTGAAGCAAGAACTAAATGAATGCAGTCTTCCCTCACCATCAGGAGAGAGGTTAGAAAATTGGGATTTTTCTCTTCCTGCCCGCACATCTTTCCTTCACTTTTAGAGTCATCAGAAACCCCCTCCACAAATATACACACAATTACGTACATGTTAAACACATCTGGATGTCACATATTGATCTGTTTACATGTTATAACCTCCAAGAAGTTATAAACTCTTGAGGATGGAAGCGTTTTCTTTTACCCACATCCCCAGCACCCAACATGGTGCCTGGCATGGAGTTGGTGTCTCGTAACTGGACAGGGTAATAAAGCCCACAGATTGATGATCCTCCCCATTGTGGTGCTTTAAAATATTAGAATTTCTGTCCAGCTTAAGTTTAAGAAATGAGGGAGTCATTCCCTGGAGGCTGCAGCTCTAGGCACCCTTAGGGAGCCCACTGTGAGGGGGTACTCACTCCCTGCCCTAAGT